GATCAATAATCATCACAACCAGCAAGCTCTCTCCAACTGGAAAAAGCCAGCCGGGCTATACGAAGACATGGCGACACACTCTCTATGCTGGAGATTGATATTGGTTCTACCCACATCTCCTGGATATTGCTACAACGTATTGCGGGGGTACCTATCAGCTGACGGCCAATGCAGGCTGCCGCCAGCCGGATAGGCTTCCATGCCACAGAAGAGGACGTGGATAGTGGAACGGTCAACGAGCCGCAGAATTATATGGATAGCTTCTGTTTGTCACGTATTCAACTGCCCAGCCTTCTTCGTCGGCGCGCTTCGAAACAGCTGCTGTGTAACACAGCTGCGTAAGCGTCATTGCCCAGGTGTTTGCTAGACGTTAACCGGTAGAACCTGAACTCTCCACCCTCGAATATCCAAGTGCGGCTTCATCGACCGACGCAGGCGTCGCGACTCGCAATGTGCAATTTCCCTCCTTCCACGGCATCTCAGCGGGGGCCAAGTGCATCACCGCCTATTCACAGCAGTCAATACCGCGATTCACAGTTCAGGCCACATCTTCCTTCATCACCTTATCGGCGGATGAATGGAATCCCATCTACAGCGACGGCTGAGCCCCACGATTCTGTCAGGATTGAGCCCACTCCCGAGCCAGAGCACTTCTTTTCCCCCGTTGAGCCTTGTCTCTGTCCCAGGACGACTGCAGCACCCCGTGACCCTCTTGACCCCGACGGACACCTGAAAAGATGTTCGGGTCGTAACAAGAAGAGCAGACAGCGATGCAGCGCAGCCATCGGGAAAAAGGCACAGCGAAACACCCACCCCACTTTCCTCCCAACATGCAACGCACACCGCAACCAGCAGAGACTGGCTGGATGGTGTCAATTCAAGCTGGTCAACGGCGAAAAATGTGGGCGCTTGTTCGGATGGACGCCACCGTACTTTGAGCTGTGTCACGAACACCAGGGCCATCCAGACACGCCGTCCTACTTTCTCAAATTGCCGCTCGAACTTCGACATGAGATCTATAGATATTTGCTTCCGACAACTTCCATTGGCTCTTCCACTGCTTCGGTGCACACTGATGCCGACGTCTTTGATCCTTTGTTTGTGAATGTTCCGTTTGGTCCCCTCATGGGTTCACGGCCGTATCACCCTGGTTCCAACATGTCATGTTGCTCGCCACCATCCAGCATATTTCCCATTCCATTTCTGGATTTGATCTTGGTGAATCGTCAGATATGCCAGGAGGTGCAAGGTTTGCTCTTCAGCATCGCAACCTTCACCATTGATGTACGGAAAGATGGGACGTTCATGTGTGGACGCCGCCTTTTGGAGCCACAACGAGCGGATGGATCTTCACATATTGGGATTGAAGATGCTAATCGTGCAAAGCTGCGTTTCCTAAAGAATTTTAATTGGTCTGCGGTAAAGAACTACAGAGTGGACATCTTGCTGGAGAACTGGTCAAACACAAAGTGCATGTCTCAGAGCTGGGACGAAGAGGTGGAGATATATGATATTCGAGGTGAGAATGCTGATAATTTGAACTTATCAAAGGAAGTAGGGGCGCTGACATGTGCAAGACTACGTCTCCGTCGTCGTCTCCGGCATCCTTGCCAAATCAAAGAATCTATGCAAACTCTCTGTGCGTCTCTGTCTAGCCGCATTCCCATGGTCACATGCACAAACTCTCGCAAACACCAAGCTCATCTTCGGCCCCTTTGAGCGAATTCGGAACGTTCGCCAACCCTATCTTGCTGGCGTTTACGAGGGCTTACCACTACACAACCAGATGGTGCAGGTGCAACGTATTTCACGATTTGCAAGCGGCCTTCCCTGGCATGGTGGCCATCTTTGGTCTGTCCCTAGCTTGCCAACATGTTCCCCTGTCTTGTTCCATGGCATGCCAGATTTTGATGCGTACACAGCTGATTGGACACGCTGCATCTCGTCTACCAGTCCGTCGCCTCTTGCTTCAAAGTCACCAATCAAAGACATGTTTACCTCGTTCAAGGACTTTTATGCCAAGCTCGCCATGGCCGTTCCAACAGTTGGGCAAAGAGACGGACGCAGAGCCTTTTTGCATCGTGCTCGTGTCGCCCGAGAGCAAGAGGACATTGTGTCGTTTCGAGGTTTGCGAAACGAGCTGATTCAGTTGTGGTATGCGTACCTGGAACTCGAGATGCAGAAGAAGGAAGACATGAACAAACGACTCAGCAAAATGCTGGAGTGTGATGTATATCCAGCTCATGAATGGCGTGTTGTCCCTGGCGAGACCAGTGCACAAGACAGCACCAGTAGGTGTGGAAATGGGAGTGGTAGTGACTGTGGCAGTGGGAGCAGCAGTGGTAGTGCTACACTCCAATCCCCTATCGAACTCAACTCTGCAACCATGGCCTTGGAAGGCATACCCATGACCTCCAACCCATGCCTTTCCGTAAACATTCTTGGCATGGATACAGACAACCATGAGGCCTTGATACGCTTAGAGCAGTGGCGCTACATGCATGCCCGACAACATGCAGCCCTGGTGCAGGCACGGGCACAGGCACAGGCACAGGCACAGGCACAGGCACAGGCACAGGCACAGGCACAGGCAGAGGCAGAGGCTCAAGCACAAGCACAAGCACAAGCTCAACCTCAACCTCAACCTCAACCTCAACCTCAAGATCAAGTCCCATGTCCTCCAGATTCACTCCCAGCCATCTTCGCCGTCCTATACTCAGCACCACCCCCACCCACAACCTCCCCACTCCCTACTCCGTCCTATCCCACCCCCCATCCCGATCTCTCTCGGCCCAAACCCACACAGCGCCAACACCAACAACAGCGAGACCCATACCTCAACCACACATTAGGCAAATGCATCAAACAAGAAGACTCCTCCGACTCCCCCGACTACAATCATCACGAGCACCCGAATCCCCAAATCTTCGCATCGCCAACCTTCCACCAAGCAAATCCATACCCCATCACTCCCTTTGCGCGCCCCGAGACCTTGTACGCGGCAGAGGCAGGCCCATCGTCGAAGCGACAGCGGCTGGATTCCAGGAGTGGTGTTGCGGGCCAAAGTGCAATTTCAGGTGCCGAGGCGCCATGTACTCGTACACGCGAGATTCAAAGTCAAGATCGATATCCCAGTAGAAGTACAAGTGGCACACTGAGCACCGATGATACGATCCCCGCATCTGAAGTTTGCGCACAGTGGGTGGGGGGCATGCAGGATGGGGAGGGGGCGGGGCAGACGTATGTTGGGAAGGGCAAGGGCAGGATGATTGAGGTGAAGCAAGAGGAGACGGGGTGAGGGATAAGTCACCATCTTTCTTCTAACCGCGTAACATAGCAGATGAATGGGGTATGAGCTCTTCTTGCAAGGGATATTTATTCCACGTGGCTTGGACTGCATTTATTCATATTCGTAGTTAGTATCTCATAGTAGTCAACAGGAATTACTGCAGAATACTGTTTCCATTGGGGTTATGAGACAAATCCAGTTTAGTCGGGATATATCCTACGCCAGGGAAATTATTGGGGGATTTGCTCGGAGAATGGGGATATGTCGTTATGATAGTTGGATATTGTATGGATTATGGCTGTGAGATGATAGATGTATTCAATCTCCCTGAGATAAAATCAATAAATCACAAGATATAATATCCAAATACCTTCAGGCATGAAACAAGCATAGATGAATAAACTATAAACATAAACCATAGCCATACGAATATCCAACCCACATCCCACCCTCTCCTACTCCTTCTTCTTCCCTCCCGCCACCTCATCCTTCCTAACAAACACCTCCCCACCCCCGCCCAAGAACAGGACCTCCTCGCCAATCTCTCTCTGCACCACCATCCTCTTCCCCTTGACCATCTGCACCATCATATAATTCATCAGACAGCGAATTCCCAACTCCTCGCCCCTGTTGACAATCCAGCCATTCATGTACTCAACCTCTGTTTGCCATCCCGTGCGTACATCTGTCAGCATAGGCGAAACATGGTGGCGCGTCTTGTTCGCCACACCCACGACCATGGTTTCCAGACGGCCCGGATCGAAGCGCTGTGCGACGTTGGGGATATATTGGAGTTCGGGGAGGGAGCGGATGACGAGGCTGATTTCAGAGAGGAGGAGGCGCATAGTACGGGTGAGGGCGTAGTTATTTAAGAGGGTGCCGTTGCGGGCGTCGAGCATGGTGGTTAGGGGGTGGATGATGCAGTCTATGGCCAGCTTGTCGAGTTGCATTTGCAGCAAGTCTGGGGGTGAAAAGGCTGCGGCGCTGAGGGTGGGGGTGCGCAGGAGTGTGCGCAGAAGGTAGCGTTCGGTGCGTGTCCAGGTGAAGTTGGTGGAGCTGGGTGGAGGATAGGCTGGATTGATGTCTGACGGCGGCTTGGGCTCGATGGGCTTGTTACTGGTGGCTGTGAACTTGGCTCTTGGAAGATAAGGAGAATCTGGGTTTCGATTGCGCTCGTTGGGTAAGATGCCCAAGGACATGGTTCCAAAGCTTGCGTGGGTAGCCGTAAAGGGGTCGCTCGAGGTGCTCTTGATGACATGTGAATTGACGCCTAGCATATAATGTGGTCTCGTGGCTGGATCTGGAAAGATCTCACGATTGACTTCCTCCACAACCCCCATTCCATTGTAGAAGAAGCAGATGACCGAATCTTTGTGGAGGCGGTGCTTGACAGCAGACAGGCGCTGCAAGACCTGGTATGCCCTGGAGCATATAATCAACGAACTGATAGGCTCACTTGACTCTCCTGGTAGTATCTGCGGCTGTGACTCGTGCGATTCTTCTGTGCTGGTCACGTTGTCTGGCGCATCGCCAGTGTTCAATCCGACTTCTTTGCCATGATATCGTATGCGGGGAATGCTCAATTCGGCGTCATACCCGTCGCAAATCTCTGCGTCGCCCTCTGTGACCAAGGTGAGGCGTTGCGAGGACTGGCTCCAATCCTCCAACTTGTCATATCGGGTAAAAAGGAGGGTGACTGGAGGCGCATTTGGAATGTTCCTCAAGGCATGCGCAATGAAGCGTCCCACACCTTCGACGCCCAAGATGTGAATACGGGGATCGGCGACAGGGGATGTGCGGTAAAAGTCTGCTGCATTTCTCGAGCTCTTTGAGGCAATCGATTCACCCGAAGCATCTTCACTGTGGGATGGGTATCAGTGAGTGTCGATTGGGTTATGAAGGATGTTTACATACGAGTCCCGTGCCTCTTCTTCTGTCTGAACAGCCTCATTCTTCCAGCTCATGCCAAACCCTCTTCTCTGGTAGTAAGCCACCCGGCTGGCAGATTTGCTACCGGAGCTGCATGATGAGCGAATGTGTGGTATCCGAGGCCGAAGCCGGGGGAGGAATTGTGAGACGGGAAAGAAAGACAGTTTGAAGTCTATCACATGTGTAAAGAAATGGATTGTTTCTGGTAAAAGTGAAGAATCGCGTTTATCCGAAAGCACGCCGGAGTGAATGACGCTATCACTATAGTACCTATGAGGCATGAAAGTCCAAAGTCGCTAACGTCAACTTAGGCGGCGGGAAAAACGCTCGGCCCGCAACTTTTTCTACGAGACGCGCATGCCAACGACAAACGACAACCTTGACAACCAACAGGGCACGCCCTCACCCGACTCTCCTTTCGACCTCGCCCTACCTATCCGAGTCGCGCGATACCAGCGACAACACCCGCGCGAACAATGGAGCCACAAACCGATCTCCCAACTCTAGTCGAAGATCTCGAAGTCAACATCGACGAGCTCACCACGACACTGGCGCCCCTGCTCGCCTCGCCCTTTAGCAAAACCGCATCCTCGCTGCCGCTGCTGGATAAATCGAAACTCTACGTGCTCGCCGCCTACAGCATTGAGTCCCTGCTCTTCTCCACCCTGCAAGCCAGCGGCATCAACGCAAAGGAGCATGCGATATTCCCCGAACTGGCGCGGCTGAAGGGGTACTTTGGCAAGATCAAGGAGATTGAGGACAGAGGTGTAAAGGGCAGTGCGGAGGGGAGGGCGAGGCTGGATGTCGGTGCCGCTCAGCGCTTCATCAAGCACGGGTTAAGCGGGAATGAGCGCTACGATCTCGAGCGCAGGGAGAAGATGGCAAAGGAGAAGGCGCGCGCGGCAATCAAGGCTCGACAGATCAACAAGAAGTTTGACAACGAGGGCAAGGCGGGGGTCGAGGACAAAACAAACGTCACGCCTAAGAAGCGCGCTGTCGACGACGTGGACGTGGATGTGGACGACGCCAGTGCAGCAGAGGACAACCCAGCTCACGACAGCAACAACAACCATCCCACACGCTCAGCAAACCCAGTCTCCAGCAACCACACCAGCAAGAAACCCCGCGTCTCAACCGAAACCGCAAACCCGCCATCCTCGACATCCAACCCCTCCTCACCCCCGTCCTCACCCCAGCCAGACAAACCACACAGCAAACAGCAACTACAACAACAACAGTCCAGTCAACCCAACCCCGCCCCCACCAAAAAACGCCGCGCCCGCTCCAAGAAATCTGCTCTCCACGACTCTCCTCCCCCAACTCCAAACGCACGAGCAGAACCCGCCACCCGCTCAACCCGCAAATCCCGCCGCCACAACCCGCGCACGTTTGACGAGCAAAAGGCCGAGGAGTTGGTTTTGCCGTTGGGTGGGGTCAAGGGGGGACATGGTGGGGCGAGGAGTGCGGTGTTTAGTGCGCTGTTGGGTGGGGGTGGGGATGGAGAGTTGGACGGGGAAAAAGGAGGGGAAGAAGGGGGGAAAAGGCAAAGGAAAAGAAAGGGGGAGGGTGTAAGAGTCTAGAGGATTGGGATGGGGATGGAGATGAAGTCAAGGATGATGTAGAGTTTACATGAGCAAGGAGTATCAGTCAGACTAAACATGTCCAACCTTTGTTGCAATCATGCAGAGTAGCGAAATCACCAGTTATACCCGTCTACTCATCTAGCTTTCTTCTCCCTTCCCGTCCATCTCGCAGGCTCATCCTGGCATGTACATGCATAATGCCCGTTTACCAGCTCAAGGCACAATTATACACGACGAAGATATGCGGTGGGTATGTGAGGGCGGAGTCGTGCTTTGGCTGGCCTATCAGGTAAACCTCGTACAGTGCAGTGCAGTGCAGTACAGTCCAATACCATCACAATACCAATCACCACTCAAAGACCTCACAAAAAAAAAGGGAGCAAGTGCTTGAAAACTGTACATGTCGTATTCTACCAATCTTTCTTATTCTTTCTCGTTCTCCCTCACTTCTTGCTTCACTGACTTCCTCCCCATCCTTCCCTCCCGCTCCCCCCTCATCCCCATCCATCAACTCACCCCACTCCCAAACCCCAAAACCAATTCTGTATTAAACCTCCTCCACCCCTCAACCATGCCTGCATACTTTTACCCGCCCCCAATAAGACTAAATAATACAAAAGATGAAATGTCAAAATAACCAAAAAAAAATATGCCCATGTCCCCCATGATGAAACCCAAACACCCATTTCGCCATTTGAAAATAGGGACAAGAGAAAAGGTATACTGGATATTTTGGACAAAAAAGTTTCCATCGCTGTGGTTCCAGAAAACGGACCCGGTTGATTCAGAGCCAAAAGGAAAAAAAAAAGGAACCTAGAGATAATATCCCGTGTCAATGCTTATGCTTGTGTCGTCTTGTTCCCGTGTATACAATAATTGGCGTGCGTGTGCGCATGTATGTGCATTCCACATCCACAACACCCCATCTCATCCTGATCCGTGATATTCCCAGCCTCGTCCCCATTCAAGGAGCCAGAGCAAGAATCCAATCCTACTCAAACCCCCCAGGCATCGACGTCGATCCCGGAATCTTCAAGCTCAAACGTTCCTCTCGCTTGCGAACAGCAAGGGCAGCTGCAGGATTCGACGCCGAGCGCTGGCGCTGCAGCAGTGGCTTCTCGGCAATCTGCTTCACGTCGAGCGACTTTTCGACCTGGGCGTGGATCTCGGCTTCGGCTTGTTCTGGCCTCTTCTCTTCCTCTCGGTCGAGTGCAGGCTTGGCTTGTGCCGCTTCGGTTGTCGCGTCCTCATGAGTGGGTGTGGCACTGTCCTGTGTCGATGTCAAAGGACCATCTGGACCATGGCCAGAGAGGACAGTCTTGCCAATCGAAATCCGCTTTTCCAAGCCCGTCTCCTTGCTCTTAAAGGGGTCCTCCTCGCTCTTTCGAGTCTTTCGATCGGCTACTGGCCCATCGACCGAAATGTCCCTCGGCTCAAACGACATCATGCTGTCCTCGCTCTTCCTCTCCTCGTCCTTGTGCGGGCTCTTTGAGAACGCCGGGCTCCGGGGACTGTCACGAAGGGGGATGAACGAGGGTACGACCCCGCCGCCTATCCGCGTCCAAAACATCTTTTCGCGAAGCTTGACACTCTCCTCCCACGTCGACTTCTTCTCCTCGTCCGTCTCTGCACGCCAGTGTCCGGCTGCAATCATGCGTAAGAAGCCAATGTAGTCGCACGTGGCACGAACGCGGCCCAAGCACCAGTCGCACAAGGGGTATCGCTGCGACTCTTCGGTATCTGCCGTCTTGAACCTGAACTTCCTCGCATACTGTTCGCCTTTTCTGGCTTCGCCGCACAACGAGCAAGGGTAGGCAGCGGTACGGAACATGGAGGTGGACGGCGCATTGGGCTCGACAACCAGAGATCCAGATGTGATGCTGTTCAAGACGGTACGGCGTGCCATCCACGAGAGCCCAGGTGCAATGTCCAGTCTCAACGTTGGCTCAATATCCTCGGCGAGAGCACGCCTGTAAAACTTTTCATCCTTGAGGTTTGGCATCCCCTGGGCAGCATTGATCGACTCCCGTGGAGAGTTGGTCGAGGCTATACTCGGAGATTTGCCCGGTAACGAAGTGGTGGAATGGTTGGCCAGGGATCCCAGACCGAGCATGCTCAAGCTTCCATAGTTACCGCTAGGCGCCCTGCTATTCGGCGCCGACGAGTGGGCGTTGACCTTGAACATGTCCTGAAATTCGGTAAAGGCTGTGAGATCGGATCGAAGGACCGGGTGGATGAGATGGGAGAAATGAAGCGGGTGGTCTGGGCTGATTTCGTCGGTTCCAGGCGTGTTCGGCGTCAGATTAATGGCTTCAAAGAGCTTGGTCATCTTGTCGGAAGGCGTGAGGCCAGGCGTCGAGGGCGCAGTCGTTGGAATCGTGCTGTTCTCGTGGTCGTCGCTGTGCGCGCTCATCTTCTCGACCACGCTCTTGAGATCTTGCAGTTGCTCCTGCAAGGAGCGCTGCAGAATCGCAGCATCGTTGAGTTGTTGCTTGAGTTGCTCGCCACGCCTGTCGGATGCCTCGGTGTCCTTGCGGGCTGATGCTACCATCTAGCCTGGTCAGTTCTGCGCGTCACGATGCTGCTGGCAAAAAGCAACCTACCACATTGGCCTCCTCGAACAGCGCAGCCGTCAGAGCTTCCACCTCGCTGTCCGTTTTCCGCTTGGCGGATTCTGCCTGGGCCCTTCGCCTGCGCTCTTCCTGCAGTTCGCTCGCCATTTGCCTCTCCATCTTATCGTAGACGACCTTTTCGACCAAGAGGCCCTTGGACACGAGCTCTTCATGCTCCCTGACCTGCACTTCCAGCCGCGCCAGTTGTTCTCTCGCGGCTTCGAGCTCGTGTCGTGTCTGCTGCAAGGAGTCGTCGAGCATGGTGGAATGGTTGATGGCGTTGATGAGCTTGGTGCTCAGCATCGAGACCTCCTGGCCAAGGTCGGGTTGGGATTCGTTTGAGTCGTGGGGGGTGAGGGTCAGCTGGGGGGTTGGTGTTCGGCCTCGGGGGTCGGGAAGCGTGTTCATGCCATCGCTCTCGTGATGGGACTGGAGGTGGGCGACCTTGGCGAGGTGTGGCGTTGAGAGGGACCGAGTGACTTCCTTCTTGGCAGGCAGCGGCGACAAGGAGCGGAGTCGCGAGGGGGTCATGCTGCCCTGGCCGTGGACCCAAGGAGCCGTTCCGGCGGTGATGAATCTGCGAATCAAAGCAGTGTTAGACAGTCGTGGACACGGGAGGGAAGACTCGATTCTGGCCGCATGCAGCCCTGGTTTCGGATGGGTTGGGTAGGGCTAGAAGAGACTGACGTACGCGAACTCAGCCATGGGGGATGGCGCGTGGACAGCAGAATCGGCCAGCCAGCTACTTCGACCGGCTCATTTACACGTCACAAAACAAAAGTCCAGACGAGGCAGAGGCCAGTGGCAGGGCGCGCGGGTAGTGGAGACCAAAGGAGTGACGACGCTTCTCGCGCGTATCGAATCGAAGCACAACGCAGGGCTGACTTGGCTGAGTGCGGGCCGCCTATCTGCACAATGCGGCCATGGCGCTCTGGTGGTGAAAAGCGAGAGGAAGAAAACAAGACGGGCGGAAAGCGAAGCGAAGCGTGGGGGAAGAGAACGTGTGTGTATAGGTGTGATGTGTGTGTGTGAGAGAGAGAGAGAGAGAGAGTGTGTGTGTGTGTGTGGAGAGCGAGAGCGAGAAGTAAAGAGAGAAGAGAGAGAGAGAGAGAGAGAGAGCAAGAGAGACAAGGATGGCGTCAAACGAATGACTTGCGGGCAACACCTACATGGGGCAGGTCGTGGAGAGGGACCGGATCTTTGGCGGCGCTTACGCTATTCTGCCTTCATCCCTTGGGGCCAATTGCACCCGGCCCATGCCGCTCTCTCTTCTTCCTGCTGGGTGTGCGTTTCGATGCCAGAATTACACAGTAAGACAAGTATGGTAGAGTCCTTCCCTCCCATCATCTACTCCAAGAGTATTGATTGCATCGCGAGCCCGCTGGCCATGCGAGCCTGCATCTAGAGCATCTAGACAGTGACCCTGACTCTGGTCGTGATTCTTCTTGAAGGCTGTTGGCCTTGCCAGCACTGCCACGCCACTAGTTGGAGGACTGCGGGCTGAGGAGGATGTGCCCACGACGACGACTAGAGTAGAGCCTAGGGATACTTGTCTAGTGTTCCTCTACTAAAAGACCCAAACCGGCCCTCTCCGGCCAACCCCCCTTGAGCAGTCGGCTCTTCGCCAAACCAGAGAGAAGAGAGGTTCTCCTCCCCTTGGCCCTTGGCCCTTGGCCCTTGTCTTGTCTTTCTGCCCCGTCTCACCACCACACGTGCCTGGTTGACGGGCTGGGCCAAGGAGGCAAAGAGAGGCAAAAGGCGAGGGCAAGATCGACGGCTGACATCATCGTGCCGCCTTGGCTTGCGAGCAGGGAAGCCAGGTGGAAAAAGTCGACAAGTAGACAGTAGAGTACTATATAGTACCTGCAACTTGCAACACAAGGTACTCGTGCTGTAGCCACCACACCGGCACAATACAAGTACCTAGCTGGTCGTCCTCGGCTCCAGGGCCGAATCGACTTTGTGGGTGAGACACCCTGGCTTGCTACGGTGCCATTGTACAGTAGACTTGGACGTAGGCTGAGCTGGGCAGGGAAAATGGTCAATAGATCTACTGGGACTTGCAATGTGCTGGGCAATACGTAGAGTAGGCGAGTGATCGAGTTTCGAGTCCATGTCTCTTGTGTGTGCATCTTGGACAGGGCAATTCCATGCATCCTCCTCCTCCTCCTCCTCCTCCTCCTTCTCAATAGTTGGACCCCCTCTTTACTCCTACTATACTATACTACCCCACCACCCCAACACAGCTATATCCCTACCAAAGCAAGATGCCCAACAAAAACAACAAAACGTAGCAAGTCCTTGTAGTCCATCGCCTTCCCCTCCGACCTACAACGAAAAGGCAAGGCGTAGAAAGTGACTGGCAGCAAAGAAAAAAGCCAAGAGATGGCGAGACAACCAGTTCGCCATCAACCCGACACCTAACGCTCGCACAGTACCATCACCACCCACATGAACAGCATAAAAGGCGCCGACGCACTATATTTCATCAAGACAGCCGCTAGCTTACATGCGCAACATGCACCCACCATCCCAACAAGACAGGCCCGGTCAACCGCAACACACACACGCACACACGCACACGCACACACACACGCACACACACACACATAGACACGCGCACAAAAGAAAAGAAAAATTTGAAACAAAAAAAGGCGACAGGACATTGTGGGTGGGGGAGGCGAGGGGAGAGCATGCACAGCCTCTCAAAGACCAAGACACACACACGCACACGCACACATGCACACACCAGTCAGTCCACACGAGTTCCAAAAAAATCAAGAGACCATCCACCCCCTTTCATCCCCCGCCATCCTCCGAGCCAGACACCCATAAACACGAGCCCCAGCCAGCAGCCCATACAAGAGCAGCCCAAACAAGCCCCCAAAAAGGCCTTTCCACCGTCAAAACAACCAAGACCTTCTCATGTCTTTCAAGGATCCGTCTGAAAATGATGCAACTATCTTTGATTACCCGACTCCGGCCGTCATTCATCTCTCCATTCCATCTTTTTGGCGTTTCATCTTCCATGCAAAGTCTCTCGACGCAGCCCTCAAGCTTCTAATATCTGCCTTTTTCCATCGCCGGCGAGTGCCAAGACAGAGTCATCATACCATCAGATCAATGGGACGGTCAGGCTTCATCGAGTAATTCGTCATGGTCGGCGCGTAACGGTAGTCGAATACAGAGATAAGGGATCGGTTTGTACAAATGTCGAAAGGTATCTGGGTAGTTGGGCGGTGATGAACGAGATCGAGTGTCGGGGCTGAATCGGCGTTGGAGCTCGCGGACTGCTTCGCAACGTGCCATCGCCTAACGGCGCCCAAATCTACTACACAAGATGTCAGTCGTTGTTCTCCATCTGCCTCCAGGTGATCGACGTCACGACCACGACGGCTTATCAGGGACGCGACCACGTACTTTTGCTTCTTCTCTGCAGGTTTCAAAATCTATAGCAACCCGTTAGCGCAAGGCCCAAGACTCGTCATTTGGACTCGTGTACCTGGAAGGAGCATAGTAGACTCTCATCCACACTCATCATCGCGCCCGCATTGTCGAATTCACCACAGTAGTTTGGTGCGCTGAACAGGGTAACGAGCTGGCGCTTCGAGAAGAACTCGTATCCATCCTCGACGACTTGATGGGCACGGCAGATCAGGTCCATGTCGTGTTTTTGCAGGAACCGAGATACGACGTCTGGGCCGAATGTGAAGCTCACACCTCGGTCGTTTTCGCTCCAACCCGTAATGTCCTTGTCGGGATCGGACCACAGGAGATCGCAGAGCAAACCACAGTCGGGAATCTGCAGAGAGTTAGCACTTGCAAAGAACACAGCCACTCCACAGGCAACACGGTCGACCGCCATGGCGCTTACATCTGTGGGACGCATCACGCGCCTGATTTGCTCCATCGAGTTCAGGTCAGGGCTGAGACCTCCGTGCATGGTGAAGATTTTTTCGTCAATGATGGCGGCAATGGGCAGGCAATTGAAGCAATCAGTAAACGTCTTCCATAGCTTGATGTTGTACCTCCGCTTGCACTCGTCGTAAAAGCCGTAGATGCGGTTGATTGAGGCGCATTCATGGTTTCCGCGAAGGACAAAGAAGTTTTCGGGGTACTTGATCTTGTAGGCGAGCAACAGGCAAATCGTCTCGAGTGATTGCTTGCCACGATCCACGTAGTCGCCGAGGAAGAGGTAGTTGGCCTCTGGTGGGAAACCGCCATATTCGAACAGTCGCAGTAGATCGTAGTACTGGCCATGGATATCTCCGCAAATCTATCCAGGAGCAGACTGTCAGTTGGCCGCTCGCGGTGAAATGGTTTGTCAGTGTGGACTGCAAACGTACCTTGATGGGCGCCTCGAGTTCGAGCAGAATCGGTTGTGAGATGAAGATCTCGCGTGCCTTGGTGCACAGAAAGCGAATTTCCGTTTCGAGCAGCTGCACCTGCTTTCCAGGTCTACTGCCGCGGACCTCGAGCAGCCGGTCTATAATGGAGTCCAGATCAACCTCGTTTTCAGCCATAGCTGTGGCTTGCTATGGGTGCTGGGGTTGGCTCAAGGAGCAAGGGAGGGCCTCGCGCGGAGTGGGTGAGGGGAGGCGTGGGTGCGCTTGGGAGCAGGAAACGCGTGTGCCTAGAGGCAGCGTGTTAGCAAAGCCGTATCGGTCTGTATTGGGCAGCTTTCGGGTGGTGCAGCGTGCCATAGCGCCGACAGGAAGGAGCCGTGCACAGCGGCTGTAGCGGCGGCGGGTGCAGGGCGCCATGGCGGCCCAGCTAGCCAGCAGCAGAAACATACCTCTTGTTTTGGTCTCAATGAATCGACCTAGGTTGAGCGCAGAAGGTGGAGGGCCGTCGCAGGGAGGAAGAATGGCTCAAAGCCCCTCAAGAGGTGCCTGGCGGCAGAGCTGGAGAACCGGGGGGATCAGGCGAGGGCAAAGGCGAGTCTGCTCGTCTGTGAGGTGCGTGTCAATGGCCCACTTGGGTTGTGTAAGAGTGTGTATGTGTGTCTGTGTAGAGATGTATGTGTGTGTGTGTGTGTGTGTGTATATGTATGTATGTGGGTAGGTAGGTGGGTTTTCGTGTGGCTGCGCGGTTGGGGCAGATGGAGCGCGCAACGAGGGCGGGGCGCAGAGGCGTTGTTGTGGCCCAGAGCCTGTCGAGTGGGATGGCTGTAAGTGACTTCACCGCCTGCTGCTACTGCTGCTGCTGGCGGGCGGACGGGCGGGGAAGGGGAGGGGGGGGGACAGTTGGGTGAGGCTATGGCGCGACGGCAGCAGTAAAAACAAGAGCGGAGGTCTCAATACAACTGTGCAGGCTACACGAACTGGCTGTGAAGGCTGGAGAGTGCGAAGCAGAGGCGGGATGCGGATGGGGAAGGGAGTCGCAGGTTTCGACAGTTTACCTTACCTAGGCCACACTCGAGCGCTTGGCAAAAATACAGCACCAGCGAAGCTAGGCCCTTCTGGTACGCGCGGCCGACGACAGAAGGGGAGGGGGACAGAGGCTGCGTAGTGAAAATGTCAGAATGCCAGAGCAGAATGTCAAGCTGTCTATTCTATGGTGGTCTGCGAAAAGGAGCCCGCGCGTTCTGAATGACTAGAGTGCTGCTGCAGCAGTACCTAGCAGAGAAAAAAGAAGAAGAAGAAAAGAAGAAGAAGAAGAAGACACCTAATGATGACAAGGTGCTGTCAACTGCGCCACCGTCCAAGTAGGTCTGTCCTTTAGGTACTGTACACTCACAGTCAAACCATCTCCAACTCCTCTTGTCTGTGTCCATGATCCTCGTCTAGACTCTACCTATGTACCGGTATGGTCTGTATACGGGAAAATACCTACCGGTAGAGTACACCCTTCCCCCCTTGTCACAAACACATACAACCTTTTGCTGCCAACCTAAGCCTTTTCTACTCTGCACAAGTGACACACACAACTAGAAAAAAGCAAGTAAAGAAGAAAAAACTGAGCTCGTCCAATCTGGTTTTTCCTGCCCTCGTACTTCTCTCTCTCTCTCTCTCTCTCTCTCTCTCTCTCTCTCCCTACATCAGTAGCAGTCTTCCTACGTTGTCCTCCCCTCACCCCCTTTTAGGCACTCGGGCTGGGCTCCAATGTCTGCTTTCAAACGTCGTTGAAGCACCGTCTGCGACATGCAGGCACTACCTACCCGCCACCCATGATATCCATCTGTACCCTTTCTCGGCACACTGCCTCACAGGCCCGATTCTAGATGCTTAGATGCTAGCCTACCGTGAAACCTCACTGCACCCTGATTCAGGACCTTTGGCCCAGTCTGCCAATCTGCTGATCTGCAACCCATCGAGATCAATCGTCCCGCAAACAGCAAACAGACCCCTTCTCTAAGAGTACTCTACTACCAACCAGACATGGCAACACCCAACCATAGTACTGACTGCCTGCTGCTGGCTGCATCACGTGCGCGTCATCTTTCATCACCCCTCATGACCTCACATACACATCAACTTGCAACTCACCCCGTCTTTTCATTCATTGCCAAACTCTGCCAAGACACATACGCTCTCATTATGCAATAAATCAACAAACCCGACTGCAACCCTCCTGTGCCAACGCCCACCAAGACCCCTCGCCCATTGCAAACCCGGCAGCTCGTGCATTCATTGCCAAACAATCAAATCGAGGAGAGAACCGCAACGCCGAGGTATAGATACATTACACACAACACGCTCAGAGGAGGGCAAAATTAACACGCAAAGGGTAAAGCACCCATGTACAAAGAGTCGCAGAAATGCTGGCATGACGGTACCGACGAGAAAATCGGTCCAAATGTCGTCCATCAAGACGAAAGAAACACGAGTAGAAAGGCGATTTCGGTACAACGAGCGTGGCAGGTTGCGGTGCTCGATACAGATCGATTCCATGTCCCGGCCAACGCCAAGCCAACCATCTAAAAGTTGCCGGTCGCGCGTGGCTGTGTAATGAAGTGAATGATTCTTTTGGGGTATCGGAAAATGATTAGATTAAACGATCCTCGAGATTATCCCAGGGTACGGCCAGAGACTATGCCTTGGCTGGGCGTTCGAGGTAATGTTGGGCGCATGTTGGGTGAATTGTACCCGTGGTCAGAAGGGAAGCTGGTCACCGAAGTATTGTCCCAGCTCTCCTCTCCCAGCGCGGTCAACCACGTGTTACCAAAGTCCTGGCGCAAAGCCTCAATCTTCTTCTTGTAAACGTCTTCACTGTCGTCCACCGATGCCTGGTCCAACCCCGGAGACTTGCTCGACGCGGTCGTATCAAGGGGAGGCAGCTGTTGATGTGTAGTATGAGTTTCGTCGGTAACGACACGCTCGTCTGAGATTTTCTTCTTTCTGGCGTCTCCGGAGTTTGGGTCATTTACGAGCTCCTCAAGGCGGGGTGTAGCCTTTGCAGCTCCGTCATCATTGGGCTTGATGATCCTAGGAGCATCACCCGGTGTGGTAGAGTCGTAGCTGATGCTACTGAAGGTAGACGGCGAAGATTGCTTTGATGCATCAGTCTGAGACAACTCGACTATCCTCCGCTTAGGTCCTTTCTTCTTCCGCTGGGATTCCTGTTTGCTGCGCGCACTCTTAGTTCGCTGCAAAGAAGTGGTGCGTCGGAGAGCATCCGGTGCGTCAACCGTAGCATCAATCGCCTTGACAACCTTGGGAGGAACATGTGCAGGAGGAGGCATATCGTCTTCAGTTGGCGGTTTGACCACAGGTACGCCGGGCGGTTCAGGCACTCGGTCCACGAGCTGTTTCTTTTCGGCCGCGCTAGGTCCTTGTGTGTCGATGATGACATCTTCAGTGTACCCTGGCGTCTTCCGAAACAAGTTAAAGATGGTCACTCGATACGTTGCATGCGTCTTGCAAAACGGATTGCGGGACACATAGACTTCGCGAATATCAGGAACACCAGTGAGTCGTGCAATCTCGGTAGGATCGGTCAGTCTATTGTCTCGTATGTCTATGCGCTCTAGCGACAGCAATCGCTCCACTCCAGCCAGTGTGTTCAATCGATTCGAGCGGAGGTTGAGCGTTGTGATTGCGGGAAGCGGATTGCGTCCAAGTGACTGTAGGCTCACAATCAAGCAGCTCGAGAGGTTCAGCGCGCGGAGACAAGTCATGCTAGCGAGGCTGTCTGGAATCTCCGTGAAGAGGTTAGCAGAGAGGTCGAGAGACTGAAGTGTGTTGGCCAAAGGCGCAAGACTGGCAGCAGAAATAGTAGTCAATGCATTGTCAGCTAAGCTGAGATGGCGGAGAAACCGCCACTTGGTAGCGGGGAACCAACCAAGCGATAAGAGGTTGGAAGAGCTGCCTCGTGGGGTAGCAGATCGCACACTGGATCCTGAGCTTCCAGAAGAGCGTCTAATGTTTGGCGCGCTGGTGCCACTTCTACCGTAGATATGGGATGATCCATGTCGAGAACTGGGCGGTCGCGTCGGGGAAGTACTCCGTTGGCGCTGTGCAGCCTTTGAGGGATGCTCTCGGGCCAATGTTGTACCTCTTGGGCTTGTGCTCTGCTTGCTAGCTGCCGACGGGGAAGATGGCGGTGACTCTGACCTGGCTATTTGACTCTGCTTGGGAGGCGGGCTGGCAGTCGACCAGGGCGCCGTGTGAGAAGGAGCTGCTTTGGCAGATCGTCTACGGCGCTTGTCAATATCGTCCAACACGATGTTGATGAGTAAATCAGCAGGATCATCGACATTGGCCCGCTTCACGGTAAGACTTCGCAGATTGTCTGCCAGACGATCCCAGCCATAAAACTGGCGAAAATCTACGTCGTGTATCTCGAGTGCTGTAACATTTTTGAACGCAAACAGGGGCACAGCGGTGTCAAAGGGGAATTCTTCGTAGCCGGCTATCAGATGAGCCTTGTGATCTGGGGCCAGCCTCAAGCATGGGATCTTGGTAAATGCAGAATACAGATAGCGCAGATCTTCCTGAAGTTGTGCCTTTTGCTTCTCGGCCTTGGCTGCACTGTTGGACCCCATGCGAAGAGAGGACCACAGCGAAGACATGCCAGACATGACACTACGGACGCTGGACACAGAATGGATCGAGTCACGGTCAGATGACTTGGTCTTATGACGCTGGGCGCTACCCAGAAAGGATACGTAGTTGGTGGGCGATGCATCTGTGTGGATATTCTCCAAGCGCACGTTCATGGGGCCTACGGGTATGCCGAGATCCTCAAACTGCGAGAGAAGGTAGAAGAGATGGTGTGGGGTCAGGGTCAGCTTTGCCGGCTTGACTGCTTGCGAGGTGAAGGTCAACGAGGGGAGCGACAGGGCTGCGGCCCAGACACTCGAGGTCGAGGACGAGGGGGGGCTGGCGGGGCCCGTGGGTGAGGAAGGTGACGTTGTTATAGTCTGGCCATGTTTGGGAGCTTGTCGCTGCAGCTGCATGGCATTTGCGAGCGCCTTTTCGTGGGTGCGTACAAAGTAGGCCAAGTTCTGCACCGGCTATTAGCACGCCTCCTGCGCCAGGCACATGTGGCCCCATACCCTTATGAAAACTTGTCCATCCTCGGTGTCCATGATGCAAGTCTGGCAATCGACGACTGCATGTAGACTTGAGACGTGGACAGGGTCAACTCTTGTGAGACGGGTCGAGGTGGGCGCGGGAGGGACGGGCGCTGTGTGCTCGAGGCAACACAGTGGTGGAGGGGAAGGCACGCGGTTTCGCGAGGGTCTTCACGCAGCAACAACGCCGCCGTGAGACACAGCTATGACGGTCAGCATAGTAGTCCCAATACAGGTACCGTGGAGAGGATGATAGCAACAACGGCGGTGCGGTGCGGCAGAGGGTGCTTGGCGGAGGTGGGGGGGGGGGAGGACTCGACGTACGGTATAGGAGGACTCGGGAGATGCCCGAGGCAGATCGACCTACAGAAGGTGACGGGGCAGGCGGCGGCAGGTGAGCAGGTAATATGGTCGCTCCCTCCCTCTCTCGCTCTCTCTCTCTCTCTTTCTCTCTTTCTCTCTTTCTCTGCGGTCCTGGAGGGCGGCGCAGGGAAAGGAGCCCACTGGACTGGAAGGACTGGCAGTGGGCGCGAGCACAGAACAAGCTGGCCAAGAGAGGTGCTGTGACCGCGGGCCAAACAAACGTGCAGCTGGGATATGCAGCACGAAACGCCGACAGCGACCCGGGTCTGTGACACTGGCCAGGAAGAAGTCAGAAAGCCCACCCGAGACGCACGCACACGCACACGCACACTCGCTGACGGTGCAGGCAAAATGTAGATTTGAATTAGGGAAAGGAGATGGAGAGAGAAGGAGAGAAAGATGGAAAGAGGAGGCGGCGGGCGGCGCTGATTCGCGCACAAGGGGTGTCTGACTGGCACAACAATAGTCAACGTGCAGGGCAGCAACCAGCTGGAGTTGTTTTTTAGCTGGGGTGGGCGAGGCAGCCGACTCTTGTCGAGAAATTGCAGCTGGGCGACAATACTGTGGTTACTGGTAGATGGCTTTCCCGAACGGGCTGCCGCCTTTGGGTAGCCCGAGGCCGGGTGATCTGGAGGGGTTCACTGGCAAACAACCGCGTGCGTTGCAACACCTTCGGCCTTTCTCTCGGGGGGGGGATGGGCTGGTGGTGATAAGAGAGGCCAATCTCGGGTAGGGGAGGGATGGAGGGAGAAGAGAGAGAGAGAGAGTGAGTGAGAGTGAGTGGGTACACTGTGTACGGTGTACTGTGTACTGTATGTGGTGTATTGGTAGTGTGTTGTCTTGTGTGTAGAGTACCAACTTGGCAACAGTCAATCAGATGAAAGGTTCTCCCAAAGGGTCAACGCAGCCCAAGGAAAGCAACGGCGACAAGATGGAAAGAGCAACCCAGCTTGGCCAAGACTTTGACGGCATTCGGAGGGATGAGGGACCCTGGAGACCTGTGATTGGTTCGGCGGGACATGGGCGCACTGTTGTGGTACAAGGCAGTACCGTTAGAGTGTTCTACCACTCTAGGCAAGCACCTGGGGGACATGGGAGATATGGACTGCGCCTAGCAACCCCCGTAAACCCTGTCCTGCCTGAGAGCATCCGTGATCCAGTTCCAGTATCTCCCAATAGGTACCGGTAACCATGTTGTGGACGGCACACGCATGCCCTGCCTTCGGCTTGTTGTTGTTTTCGTTTCGAGTCCACTCCTCCTTGCTACCCATGCCATTTCTGTATCCAGCCAGCCACCCATTACCTCCGATTGTGAGCTGTCCATTGCATCACATTGAGCTTGTATGCCGACTCTGTCACATCCACATCTCGAGGCCTTGAGCCCGAGCGATTTCCCATGGATTAAAAAAAAGGCAAGCCATAGCAGACGCACAAAACCAGCAAAACTCATGATCCACTTGAAATTAGCATTGGTTTCATTTCATTTCATAGGCTAACTTGTAGCCTATGAGCTAAGGTACTTGGGATATCATCACTCTTTGCATTCCACATCCACCACCGCCGCCATGCCATCCCTCACAGTCATCTTCGTGAGATGTTGTGGGTAAACATCTATTTCATGAAGCCAGCTTTGCCATCGCCATCAGCATCAACCTTGGGGTTGAGCTAGTGAAATTAGCATCTTTCCTTTAATAGTCTCTCAATCAGAAGTGCTAACCTTGTCCTTGAGGCTGGGCTTGTCCTGAGTGGTGCCGTGGGTGCCGTGAGTACCGTGCGTACCAACAGTATCGTGCGTCACACCTGCAGAGTGTTGGTCATGTACAGACGAACTATGAGCATCATTGCGCGGCACAGTGTGGGCAGGTTGAAGCGACGAGTGTGGTTCAGCCTTGGAGTAAGGCTCCACAATCGCGCGGGGAAGTTCAGAATCTGGAATGTTGGACGGGGGAATTGTGTTACCTCCAACATTGCTGCCATGAACAGCGTGGCCAGTACCAAGTCCTCCACTGGTTCCTGAAAGTCCGCCGGCTGTGTGGGTGCCGTAGCCTTCAGTGTATTGTCCAGCACCAACGCCGCCGGCACCCGAGGTGTTGCCTGCTACGCCGTAGCGGTCGGAGTCGACACGAGGGTCAGCCTTGTTGGCCATGTGGGAGTCGTGAGGACCAGTGGGGTCAGAGTGACCAGTGGAGCCAATACCACCAGTCGTGTGGCCGGTAGAACCAAGACCCGCTGTACCATGGGTAGCTGAGCCAAGACCCGTTGTACCGTGGGCAGTTGAGCCAAGACCCGTTGTACCGTGGGCAGTTGAGCCAATTCCAGATGTGCCGTGACCAGTGGTGGAGTGGCCAGTCAAACCGCTACCGGTTCCAGTGGTACCATACTGACCTGTGCTGCTGTAGCCTCCAGCTCCGGTAGTGTTACCAGCTGTGCCGTACTGGTCAGAGTCGACGCGGGGGTCAAGCTTGTTGGCCATCTTGCTGTCATGAGGGCCGGTGGGGTCGCTGCGGTTGCTTGAGCCAAGCGCTCCCGTGGTTCCATGGGTGTTGGAGCCAGTCAAACCGCCAGCGGTACCGTGACCCGTGAGACCGCTGCCAGTGGTGCCGTGAGTCTGACCATACTGACCAGTGCCAACACCGCCCGCACCAGAGGTGTTGCCAGCTACGCCATAGCGGTCTGAGTCGACACGGGGGTCGGCCTTGTTGGCCATGTGGGAGTCGTGAGGACCTGTGGGATCACTGTGGCCAAGTCCTGATGAACCAGTGGTGCCGTGTGTGGTGGAAGAGCCAGTCAAGCCTGAGCCAGTGGTGCCGTGTGTAGTACCAGTAGTACCAGTGTGGCCAACACCAGTGGTGCCAGTGTGGGTGGTATCATCGTCTGGATATATTAGCAAGAGGTAGGTAGGGCTCAAGGTGAAGCATTGCTACTGCTTACTCTTGTGGGTCATATCATCGACCTTGGCCTTGATCTTGTTTACGATTCCAGCCATGATGTGTGAGTTATTCTTGTGTCTGTGTGTAGGTTGTGTGGGAGGCGATTGTTGAAGTGGTTACAAGGCTGTGTGTGAGAAGGTATGGTGAGAGTTCAGTGTGAGATTGCTATGGGCAGGTCTTGGAGCGCCTTCTTATATGTGTACATGGCAGGGCAGGTGCTCGCAGACACGCTACGTCATTCCTCCCGATTCTTCTTCCCCATGGCGCCATTCACAGCTGCTGTGCAAACGGGCAAGGCAGAGAGGGTTGGAGGTGCCGGTTTCACGACTGTGTTTGCCTCCACTGGTGGCTAGTGCTGCAGTCAAACAGAGTGGGATGGCGGGACTCTTGCGAATGCGGCTCGCAGCAACGTCATTGGCATCCGCCTGGAATGGCCCAAAGCGAACCGCTCGAGCAGGGCGACGGCACAGCTCGCTTTTTCTTGCTGGACCCAAGAGCTTGCTTGAACGGCTGGCATTCCTTGTTGTTGCAACAGCCACAGCAACATTAGGCTACTTTCCGCGCCACCGGCCGCTCATGGAGGGGCTGGCTGACGGATGAAGCTAGGGATGGTCTACATTTGGCGATTGCGGGGTGGCGCACGTGGATGAGGCTGCGTCATTGCTCGGTAAACTGTGGAGAGGGTGAGATCCTGCTTTGCCTTGTCTTTTTGCCTTGTCTCCCTTGTCTTCCGTGTCTTTCACTGTCCTACTCTTACTCTACTCGATCCAGGCCATCCATGTCCCATTGACCATTGACGCGTAGATAGTACCTAAGAGAACAAGCACATTGGATCCGCTAAAGGATCTTCCATGACACCGCCACAGATGACCCTCTTCCAACCAGGGTGTAGAGTGTCGTAGTACTGGCATGGATGGGCTTCTAGAAACCATCAGATTCTCGTCCATGTCACCGCCAACAGGCAGCTGTCCTCTCCGACACGCGTTCCTGGGGACAGCAAGGATAGGTGGAGAATGTACTCTGCAGAAAAAGACGTGGGTGGCCAAAAGTGCTGCTCTCGAATTGCGAATTTACTACTATGCTTGGAGGTCCACGTACAAAAGTGGGTGTGCTGGGAAGTGACACATTATGACGTCTCTGTGCCCAATTTTCCACAGGGCTGAATGCCATGTACTAGTCCTCCCATCTCCATGGTGCAGTTTCATCTCTACTCTACTCTACTCTACCTACTCTACTGGAGTTGGTACTACTAGTAGAAGCCGGTCATCCCAGAGTAAGACCAATCGCCAACGAAACCAATCCCCATGCGTTTCGTCTCGAGATTGCACAATGCGTCCACCGTCGAATGAACAGGCTGTTGACGTGGAGCAGAGTAGGGACTGGCCAGGAATGCAGTCGACGGGGTCAAGTGAGGGCTCGCGCAAAGGAGCTTGGACCACCCTCGTGCCGCAAACATGACGTCGTAGCCCAAATGCTCGTAACCCTTACCCAAACACGAATCCAGAAACCATTGCAGCAAGCACTCTACTCCTAGACACCTCACCCATTTTTCATTCTTTTTCCCGTGAACCTAGAGTAACACCCCTAAGCAAAAGCAAAGATCTACTACTATAGCACCCTCTCCACTCGTCATACCAAACTTGGCTGCAGCCATGTCAGGCGGTGTCAAAGTGCCCGACAGGGTCAAGGAGGTTGCAAGGGAGGACTTTGACAAGGCAAAGCAGCTCGCTTCAGATGCCGTGCGGTCGGCCGCCTACCTCTATCCGTTCAAGGTAGGACCTCGCAGCCTGCAGCGCTTACTCTACTTCTCTACTCTACATACCGCTATGAAGATCGCTGCTGATCTTTGCTCTCAGGGTATCCTGTACTTCTTCACCAACCGCTCGCTATGGAAGCCTCTTGCGGCCAAATTGATCCCCACCATCTCACTTGGCGTCGGCGTGACGGTGTTGATGTTCGCCGTCACCTACGTGCCTCAAGTTGCGCTCTTGACGCTGTTCAACGGTCCCTTCGCCATCATCAGCACCGTTCTCCTTGTGCTCAGTGAATCGTCGACCATCTTCAACGTCTTGAGCAAGAATTTCCTCATTGACGATGCCCTCATCGACACCTTTGATGGCACTCTTCTCGCTAGAGGTCAGAGCTCTCTGGTGGCCACTGAGCGTCAGGTCAAGTCTGGAAGCGACCCAGTAGGAAAGCTGGGCAAGCTTGTGACGAAACCATTCGCCAAATTCACACCCAGTGCCATGATCCGGTACTTCATGTACCTCCCACTCAACTTTATTCCTATCGTTGGTACTGTTGCCTTTGTCATTCTCCAGGGCCGCAAATTCGGTCCAACCGCGCATGCTCGTTATTTCCAGCTGAAGCAGATGAAGAAGCCGGAGAAGGAGCGTTTCATCGAGGAACGCAAGGCTGCATACGCCAGGTAGGCTTTTTCCACAGCCATGCCTCGCTCAACTGCTGACATGGCAAAGCTTCGGTATCCCTGCTGTTCTCCTCGAGCTTGTCCCTGTCGCCGGCATCTTCTTCTCTTTCACCAACACCGTCGGCGCCGCACTGTGGGCCGCAGATATGGAGCAGGGCCGCAGCGGTGGCAGCCAGGGTAGTGGAAGCTCTACTGCTCCCAATCTCCGCAACCAGGCCGAACAAGTCAGGAAGCGGGAGTTGTGAGGAGCTCAATCCTGAGAATATGAGCAGCTATATCCACAACCTTGTACTAATGAGTTTGGCAAAGGGAACCCGAGGCTCTCCACCGCTACGGCCCTTTTGTGCAATACCGATACCCATGGAAGCCGCCTTAGGCGAGAGGTAACATGCTTGGCTGGCCTTGATGAATGAGATATGCGGTGATGGACGAGAGACGTGAAGCATGACGAGATGAGCATCGATATGAAGTAATCAGTAGCAAGGACAATATATAATGTCATGGAGGAATCTTTACCCATGGCTCCAAGACATGTTGGAACTATATTGAATGATCTAGTGGCTTACAAGATCCTTTCCGCATTATTTGATACATTGTATGTTATTCAAGGTGTAGCGAGTGCGATTCTGATGCTAGAGGGTGGTGTGACGTAGTATGTATGATGTAGTAAACATGATACGTTTCGAGCACCACTGTGGAATATATTCCATGTAACAAAATAATATATACCCAACAACAGCTCAGCCCAAGTACAAACCCAACTAGGGCAAACATTCCACGAGCCAACCGGTCCGAAGCCATATGAAGATATTTGAGCCTATGACAGTGTGTCGTATACGTAGTCTTCGCTGTAGTCAACACGTGCCCAAACCCAACAGACTCCACTTCTTCCACATACAGGGTCATGCACATACCTTTATTTCTTATTCCAGTCGTAGCGACCTATCCAGAGCGATCCAGACCCCTTGGACACAAGCACACGATATATATTACACAGCTATACCAGAAAGTAAAAACCTACTTTTCAACTTTTTTTTGGGTCTAGTTGTATTAACTAAAAGTGTGATTAACCACCGAGTACATGTACATGTGTATTTTTTTTTAAAAAAAAAGTCTATCCCGAAACCTCAGGAAGAAAAATAAAAATTATAAAATTACAAAATTACCTATCATCATCATCCTTGTCCTCTTCATAGCCGTCTTTCTTTCCCCGCGCCAAACCAAAGCACTCGGCCATGCCGTAGAAGATGTCGATATTGCTGTAGACGCCGCCAAACAGGTCCTGGCACGGTCCCATGGCAAACACGGGGACGTCGGTAAGCGAATGAACGCCCTGGTCGTTTTCCACCGGCAGCGTGCCGTTGAGCAGGATGCCGCTCTGGCCATCCCCGTCGTTGGCGTAGTAATCCGTACTCCCGTTCTTCGTGGACGCCGGCACGCGCGGGCCGTCCTTGTGCACGATCCAGTTTTCCCTGCGGTCGGGGTCGGCCATCATGCCCTGGAAGAGGGTGTATCTGGGGTCCCAGTTGGAGGGGAAGTTGCTGTCCGTGTACGTTAGATTGCCGGTGGTGGTGTACTGGCTGAGACCCGAGGACTCGTAGACGCCGATGGCGTCGCGCTTTTTGCGGTCGGAGCCTTGGGCGGCCAGGTATTTGGTGTCGACGGAGCCCATGACGTCGAAGCCGTGGCCGTGGTCCGCCGTCACGAGGATGAGGGTTTCCTTGAGCGAAGAGGTCTTGTTCAGGTGCGAGATTGTGGCTTTGATGGTGTCGTCCAACTCGAGGAGCTCGGCTAGTGCGCGATCGAAATCCAACACGTGCATCATCTTGTCGATCGAGGCCGCTTCCGACATGAGGAACCAGCCCTTGTCACCAGATCGGGCTTGCAGGATGTCGATGGCTTTGAGCGTCATCTCCTTGAGACCGGGCTGGTCGAGAGCCGGTTTCTTGTCGCCGGTCGGAGAGAGAGAGAGCTTCAGGTTATCGCGGTAGACATTGCGGTCGAGCCACTTGCCCATGTTGGAGGTTGTGAAGATGCCAAGAGTTTTCTCGGAGGCGTTGGCAGACAGGAGAGCGGTGCGGTTTTGAACGATTTGATAGTCCGCTTTGGCGAACTCGTCGTAGTAGTTCTTGCCCTGATATGTCTTTCCACCGAGCGAAGGGGGGTAGAATTGTTCGGCTCCTCCGCCAAAAATGACGTCTACGGGGACATTGGTCCACGTGTAATTCTGGACGCCGTTAAGGTAGCTGTCGACGATAGCCTCATACTTACCCCTGTTGCGTGTGTGAGCGATGAGCGCAGCTGGGGTAGCATCGGCAATGTAGGCTGTGGACACGATTCCGATATGTCCTCCTGTGAGACGATGGAACATTTCTGCAATGGTTTCGATCTTGGGATCGTCAAAAGGATCCTTGCTAGAGTCGGCATAAACATTCAAGCAGTTGACAGACGCCTTGTGCCCCGAATTTAGGGCTGCTGCGGAGTTGGCAGAATCCGTGATGAAGGAGTCGAGCGAGTGGGTCATCTGATGACCAAGAACGGGGAACTTGTCCATGGCCATGGTGGTCTGGTATTTTCCATTGATGCTCTTGTGAGCAATTAGGCGTGCTGCCGTAATCATGTTGGTGGTCATGCCGTCGCCAATGAAGAAGACAATGTTCTTGGCCTTGCGTTCTTCTGCCAGATCGCGCACCAGCCAGGTAGCCTCAGTTTTGGAGCCATTGTTATATGTGAGAGTGGCAGTGTACTCGCCAGGTTCATAGAGCGCAACGCGGCGATAGGCCTTGGACGCCACATTGACCAGTGTAGGCTTCTTCGCGTCGCGAGCAAAGAGATCTGATGTTATTGGTTAGTATAAATTGTGGAAACGAACACGACCAAAACTCCAAATTCGCAAGGCACCCGCATCGAGCTCGGCAATTCTATTCCCTGGGAAATGGTATGTGCAGAGTACATACCCTCAAACCATGTGAAGTTCCATTTTTCCAGCTTGGGCTCCTTCAACGAGAAATATTTAGTCACCGGCTTGGCCTTTTTGCCAGTCTTGCCGATAGTGAATGTAAAGTCTTTATCCAAAGGCAGACCAATGGCTTCTGAGCCATTCACAGGCTGATGGACCTCGAGACGAATGTCGAAATACTGGCCAGCAAGGAAATCAGCCCTAGAGTCTTTGTTAGCTGATGGAGGTGAGAGCAAGCTTCATTTACTTGAAGCTTCGACCTAGTGCTTACTGGTCAGGGGGAAAGACACAGCCTGAGATCATTAGCATTCCTCGTCCAATTTGAGAGAATTCGGGGTTCGTACCAAGAGTCGGACAAGCTCCAAGACGTTGGAATGTCTGCGCAGAGACGGAGCCAAGCAAGAGGGCAGCTGCCACAAAGGCAGAGCAGGTGCACTTCATGGCGAACGCAATCAAAGAGTCTTGCGGTAGACGCGATAGTCCCAGGTGAAAGCGATGATTCCAAAGTTTGTAGACTGGTGGTCGAGCAAGCTTATAAGCTTGCCGCTCCTTGGACCTGCATACAAGCTCTTTCACCGAGACAGCAAGCCACCAATGCAGCAAGCAAAGAGCTTGCGCCAGGCAACTAGGGTTCACCGCTTAGACTCGCTTCTGTGCTGAAGGGCGGTTGTATAACCACACGGCTCGGTGGCTCTCTTTCGATTTCCCGTGCTCGTGCAATGATGCAGCGCTTTTACTGCTGGAGAAGATGAGTCTAGCTGCTCGAGCCAGTCCCAATACCGTGCTTTAGGCCGCATGACGAGCCGTTGCCATGATCCCATTAGGTAGAGACGGTGGACGAGCTGCCTCATCGGGCTTGGACAGGCATACAATTTTTTTCTGCCATTGAGGGGGAGCTGGAGGAGCTTGATGCGGCTGGGCATCACGTTCTTTTGATATGTTGTTTGATTCGTTACCAAGCACTGTTCATGAGATGCATGGCGGAAACCCCGCCAACTCTGACTTGGCAACAGCCGAGTGGGGAAAGGCGGTGCGATGGTAATCTAATCCGCCGCAATGCTGATGGGATCAACTAAGGATGGCTAGGATGACTTGGCCGACCATTTCAGGCTTGACTGGGAGCCGGATATCCTGGTGATATTCATCACGTGATGAGCTTCCAGCCACTCCCCCCCTGACCCCTACGCTCGCATCACCTCGAGCGTCCATCTTGGTGAACAGGTTGTTATGACGGCCGCGTGCATGACCAGATGAATGCTACTCGAGTCTCCCAGGTATCTCATCATGGCTTCAAATTTACCTGTGATGCATGTCTGTCGGGCACACATCACGTGGCATGGTCACGTGCACGGCCATCGACATCAACTCCTGCAGCCCTACCTAGAGTAGTCACCTCGCCCCTTCACAGCATGCACATCATGCCATCGCGAATCGTTGCGGGAGGCCGGGGTATATCTAGATCTAGATCTAAACAAACTTCCATCTGACAGCTCGTCGTCGATTGGTCATGGACATGCTCTCTGCCCATCATGGTGTGGCTTTCGGTAGTACGCTACCTACAATGCTTCCGTCGACCGTCGACGTCACCACTCTGAGTGCATTAGGGTAGAAACTATGTCGCATCCGCCAGGTACAAAGCAATAGTTTGCCAGACACCTTGTGTACCAACATACGCTTTGATGCTTGGTGTTAGACGGTCCTTTGCATCGCATACCTCTTCAGCAAGGCCTGTGGGAAGACTTGTTGAATGGAAAACTAGCATTCCTCAGCGCACCACAAGCAACGTCTTCACGCATGCGACACGCGCCAAAACGACAATGCCTGCCTTGAAACGATCCGCAAAAGAAGCAAAGCTTGCAGATGAAGACTCGCACAAAAATCTCCCTTCAAAGCGGTTATCATACTCACGCTCAGAACTCGGACACACGACGACAAAGCGCGCAAAGCAAGTCGACGAAAATCTGCCCTATGACCAACTCCAGGAAGCCCTTGGTGCGCAGGTTGAAGTCAAGCAGGTGGACAAGGTCGCACACTGGTTCCATCCCAAGGATCTTCGTATCCAAGACAACACAGCACTCCACCATGCCTCGCAACTTGCGCAAAAGAACAAACAACACCTCGTCTGCGTCTATGTCAATTGCGCGGCAGATGAAAGCTGGCACGGTACAAGCGCTGCGAGAGTAGACTTCATGTATGAGGGTCTGAAGCTCATTCAAAAAGAACTCAAAGACCTCAATATTCCGCTTGTCTTTCTCGAATGCGAAAACCGCAAGGACATTGTATCCACGGTAATCTCCTGGTTCAAAGAACAAGGTGTTAGTCATGTTTTTGGCAACATCGAATACGAAATCGACGAAATACGTCGGGACATCAAACTTGTAAAGACGATAGGAGACGACATTCAAGTCTCACTCCACCACGACCAGACCGTTGTAGAACCTGGCACCATGCTCACAGGCAGCGGCAAGCCAATGAAGATCTTCACACCATACTTCAAAGCCTGGCTAGACATTGTGAAAGACCAACCCTCGCTCCTCGACACAAACCCTCCTCCTGCCGTCAACCCCGCCTCTGCGAAACAGGACCTAGAATCCCTCTTCGACACACCGGCACCGAGGCCTGCAAAAGACAAACAATTCGAAAACGATGAGGATAAGAAACGAATCCGCAAATTTTGGCCCCCAGGCTACACGGCAGCCTCGACGCGCATGGACAAGTTCCTCAAACACATCCCCAACTACGCCGCCACCCGCTCCGACCCCTCCAAAGACTCGACCTCGCGCCTCTCCCCTTACTTTTCCGCAGGCATGTACAGCGTACGCAGCGCCCTCCGCAAAGTCACAGATTACAACCGGGGCTCCACCGACTTCCGCGAGTCCGCCGCCTCAGCCGGCGTCTACGCCTGGGTGCGCGAAATCGTCTTCCGCGAACTCTACCGCCAAACCACACTCTGCACGCCCCATACGTCGATGAATCTCCCACAAAACCTCAAATTCAACTCGGTCCGCTGGGAAGATAATGAAGACCACTGGCAGGCCTGGATCAATGGCCAAACAGGCGTCCCCTTTGTCGACGCCGGCATGCGCCAACTCGCCCACGAAGCCTGGATGCACAACCGCTTGCGCATGAATGTCTCCTCGTACCTCTACTGCAACCTCCTGCTCGACTACCGCCGCGGCGAACGCTACTTCGCCGAGACCCTCATCGACTGGGATCTCGGCAACAACACCCAAGGCTGGGAGCCCAGCTACACCGTCTTCAACCCAACCTCCCAGGCCGAGAAGAACGACCCCGACGGCGCTTTTATCCGCAAGTGGGTGCCCGAGTTGCGCAATGTACAGGGCAAAGCCGTGTTTGCGCCGCACGAGCGCTTGTCCGGCACCGAATTTGAGCAATTGGGCTATCCGAGGCCGTGTGTGGATTGGAGGCAGACCAAGGAGAGGTGTCTGAGCCGGTTTAAACGGGATATGAGCGGGGTTGAGATTTAAATAATGCTGTGAATATACTTCATGTAAATTGTGTACGCATCTATAATCGCCGTGGTAGTTGGGCAGATTTGATAAGATTATGGTAAACGGGGAAAAGGCAGAGAAGAATCTCTTCCAAGTGAACATTCAGATATGTACAGTGGAGTATTCCCTGTGAAAGATGGTATAGATGCCAAGGACATGTAAAACGTAAAGAATTTATTCATGTACTTCTGCCGTCACTACGCGCACACACATACCCCCCAACCATCCCATCGTCGTCACCGTCACTCAAAAACCACAATCATCCTCGCAATCCCAACCACAATCATTCCAGACAACATAACAAAGCCTTGTTGATCACTCTCCCCCCTGAGAAATTACACTCACGACCACGCGTACCGCCTATGACAACACCTACGCCACACTTGCCACCATCAGCGCCGCTACACCCTCCTCCTCACTTCTTACATCAATCTTCATCGTCACCCCTGTCCGCGCACTATACGCCATGCGCACCATGGCCGCAACCTTGCCGCCCGTAATCGTCTTACCGTACAACTTCAACGTATGCGTCGAGGTAGACAGCGCCACATCGGAGCCCTCGAGTGGTTGGAGGGAAAGCGTCTTGGTGACTTGTTCTGTTGCGTCTGTTGGGTGATTAGTGACTTGTGCTCACCAATGAATAAAAAGCCATTTCTACTGAAAAGGACGTACCAGATATACTCTTCACATTCTCCAATTGCAGTGTCTCTGTTGCCTTTTCGCCATTCGCTTGCTCCCACACATTGTCGAAGCTGCCTGCGTACGCAGGGACAACATAGTCTGCACCCGTGAGGTAAAGATCTTCCACCTGGTATTCATCTGGGTAACCATCGCCATCCTCTGGCTCACCGGTGCTGGGATCAATCTCCTTGCTTGTGAACTTGAGTACGTTTGTGAAGCTGGCGGAGATAAACTGGGATTCTGTTTCGAGTCGCTTGAAGGACACGTAGACGGTGCCCGGCTCATTGGTAGGGAGCTTGGGTGCAGGGATGATGAATTCCTCTTCCAATTGCACGTCACCCTCGTCTTCTGCGGTGACGACCATTTCAACGTCCAAAAGCACTGTGTCAGGCAGGGTGTTTTTGATGTCGTACTGTAGAACGACGTGGTTCTTGAAAATGTGCTTGATGGCTGTGACGACGTACTCGGTCTCCGATTCGGTGAGTTCGACTACCTCGCTCGACTTGAGAACAGTGCCGTGGGCTGCCAATTCTGGAATCTTTTGTAGCTCCACAGCATATTTTTGTGCATTCGAAGCCGCAGACGCAGCAGCATCTGCACCACCTTTGGCAGGTGCCTTTGTTGCGCTGGGCGCCTTGAGAGTGGGTGTGGCGCCTTCCGTCTTCTTGGTGAGGTCTGCGGCGTCGGCCTGCTCTCGAGACACAGTCGGAATCTTGGTGATATCGAATGCGGTTTCGAAAACGTCTCGCGAGTCGGAACTGACATACATGGCGAGTTGGTGTTCCAGGACAGGCAGCGAGAACATGGAGTCGTTGCGAATGAATTTGATTGCCATCTCGTCGTCATCTTGGTCCATCAAGCGGAGGTTGAGGGCGGCACGATCTCGCACCTCATCGTCCACATCGTCCAGACAGCGAGTGAGGAGAACGTGGACAGACTTTTTGATCTCGGGATCCTTTTGTCCTACACCGAACTTGGCGAGCGCAGATGTGGCCGCGGCCCGGACAATGGCATTCTCCAAGACAACACGGTTGTAAATATAGCGAATGTACTTTGTGGGGTGGGGCGTCGAAGGGCCCTCACGGCCGAGGACAAAGAGGATCCTGACAGCCAATTTGGTGAACTCGCAGTCCTCAATGAACTCGCAAAGTGTGGCTAACGCATCTTCCTTGGCTTCGGGTACGAAGCGAATAAGGTCCATGATAGCCTCGACGACCGCTCTCTTAAATTCATAGCCGCCTTCGTCCCGTAGAATACCACTGAGGAAAGCAAGGAAGCCGGACTGTTTGGCCTTGAACTTCAAAGCCAATGTTCGGACCGCCTCGACAATCGTAACCTTGAATTCGTCGGTGATTTCTGCCATGAAGCCAGTAATTTGCTTCATCAACCGGTCGACCGAAGACTCGTTGCCAGTCTTGAGGAGCGTAGTGATGGCGAATGTGGCAATGCTGCGGTTCGAGTTTGTGATGAGAGATTCGATGTCTTGGTTGCACGACCGAACGGCGTCTGGCTTGAAAGAGGCCATCTGTGACAGGATGCGGAGGGAAGCGAACTTTGTGACGGCGCGAGGAGAAGTAAGGAAGAGCTGGAGGACGTGGACAGCTTGGACGAGTTCAGCGTCGGTGACATCGCGCATGTCGGTGATAGCCTTTGCAGCCTCGAAGTTGACCATTTCCGACTTGTGACGCAACCATCCATCGAGGAGTTGCATCATGGGCTATCATGTGTCAGTGGAGACTTCAAAGTTCGTTTCAGGGGAGAGTCTACTTTTCGCAGATTGGGGTCCTCTTCAGCCAACTTGGCTGCCAGGCGGACCAACAAGACCGTTGCAGCAGGGCTCTTGACTACACCAGCCGCCGAGTACTGCTGCACCATCTTGACCAAGCTCATCCTGTCGCCAGAGCGCATTTGATACAGCAGGCCAATGGCGTGGTACTGTGTCATGTAGTTTGTGCTGGCCTGGAGCGAGTTGTGTGAACCGCCTCCAAAACCTCCCAAGAATCCACCAGACTTGCTGCCCGACGCAGCTTCAGCAGCCTCAGACTGCCATCTCCTAACCACATCTTTTGCGACGGGGAGGAGGTGGTATGACGAGACGAGCGCAGCCGAGGCGACGGAGGGGTTCTTGTCGACTATGCACGTCTTGACGAGACGTTCAATGGCTTGCACGGTCGAGGCATCAATGACACGGCAGAGGGCGCGGATGGCGTTGGGCCGGTATACGACGTCACTGCCTACAGACGTGTCCTTCATAATGGACGAGGTGACCATGATGACATCGTCGGCTGAGCTGGCGAGCTCCTTGATGACCAGGTAGACCATCTGGCGGAGCGAGGCATCTTTGTTCTGGAAGAGCTTGGAGATGCCAAAGAAGAGGGTGGTGGCCTCTTGTCGTCCCCAGCTCTCGCCAGTGAAGAGCAGCAGGGCCAGCTTTGTGAGGATCTAACCATGGTGAGTGAATGTCTCTGGTTTCCACGACCCTTTTGTCACGACATACCACTCTGCACTTGCGCGGCGACACAGGACTCTGGTTAAAGACTCGCGCTGGGCCAAGTCAGCTTCATATACCGCTATATGGCCCCCCACCGCCACTGTGTCTGTGGGGGGAGTTCTTGTCGACTGCTCCTACCTTCTTGGAAGACGGACGTCTTGTCAATCTGTGCCACGCCCCCAACATCCTCGTGTTTTTTGTCCATGGTGGTCTGCAATGTGGCTGCAGCGCCAGCTCTCGCTCAATGGCTAGGATTCGGTGGAATAAGTCTCCCGCTCTTTTTGCTCCGCCAAACGTGGCCTCTGCGCGGTGTTGAGGTCGTGGTCGTGGTCGTCGGTGAAAAAGTATATCCGGACCGGCCTCACAATCGGTGGAAGGGAGGGGAGATTCGATTGTGCAGCAGGACTGAGGCGAGGTCCGGGTATGAGCTCGGCGTGTTGGAATTGGCGACGTTGAAGATGTCGTGGAGCAGACAAGGCAGTGGAGTGGAGTGGCAGGGATGTGGCAGTGTGTGGGACAACCCTCAGTGCGACTGCCACTTTGCGGGCTTGGCAGGGCTGGCCCGCTGAACCATGGAAGGAGCCCTGGAAGGGTCATTTCTAGGGGTTACCTAGAGACTAACTAACTAGACTAAACCTACTGCTTGCTAACTTGAATAATCTTGCTACTTGCTACTCTAGGTGAGTCGACTACTATTGCTACTTGCTACTATTGCTACTATTACTGTTATTACTGCTACCGCTCTTACCACTGGCTAGATGCGGATACACGCGCGCCATTTTCAGAAATCTGCCTTTCTTACTCCTACAACTACAGCCACACATTCACCCTACGCCACCGCCGCCGCCGCCGCCGCCTTCCTTTTCTTTTCTTCTTCCCTTTTTTTGCTTCTGCATCTATCTCTACATATCCAACACACACGCACACAACCCACATAATGGCCGCCTCAATACCCCGGTCGCGATGTCTCTACGCCGCCGCCGCCTCCCCATTCAAACCTCCCCCGCGGGCAAGACCAGCAGTCCGAACATTCGCCACCACGTCAGACACCCCCCAGACCTCCCCCCCAGAAGCCCCTACCCAGCGTCGCCGGCCAGCGACGTCATTTAGCGACACATTAAACAGCGGCCCTTCGTTTGGCGACTTTGTCAATCCCAATGCGCCCCTCGACCCCGCCGAGGCCTACGAGATCAAGACCGCCCAAGTCGGGCCAGAAGGGCGCAAAAAGACAATCACCCGCCTGCCAGACTGGCTCAAAACGCCCATACCGTCGAATGAAAACTACAAGCGTATCAAGAAGGATCTGCGGGGCCTTAACCTCGCGACCGTCTGCGAAGAGGCCAAATGCCCCAACATCTCCGACTGCTGGGGTGGCAGTGACAAGAGCGCGGCCACGGCCACAATTATGCTCATGGGCGACACGTGCACACGAGGCTGCCGATTCTGTGCTGTAAAAACGTCGAGAACGCCGCCACCGCTGGACCCCCACGAGCCAGAGAACACAGCAGAGGCGCTACGCAGATGGGGACTGGGCTACATTGTCATGACGGTCGTGGACCGCGACGACCTGGCGGACGGAGGCGCCCACCACATCGCCGAGACGATTATGAAGGTCAAGCAAAAAGCGCCCACCATGCTCGTCGAATTACTCGGCGGCGACCACCAGGGCAACCTCGATATGGTCAAGGTGGTGGCAACAAGCGGCCTGGACGTCTACGCCCACAACATTGAAACCGTGGAGGCCCTCACCCCGTTCGTCCGCGACCCAAAAGCAAACTTTCGTCAGAGTCTTGCCGTTTTGCGAACGGCAAAGGAGGCGAATCCAGACATCATCACCAAGACGAGCATCATGCTCGGTCTGGGCGAGACTGAAGACCAGCTCTGGCAGACGCTACGAGGTACTTTTCCTTCTGCTCTTTTCCCCTATCCAGATCATCCCAACTCCCCACTAACCCAACCTCCCAACAGACCTCCGCGCAAACAACGTCGACGTCGTAACCTTTGGCCAATACATGCGCCCCACCAAACGCCACATGGCTGTCCACGAATACATTACCCCAACCCACTTTGACCTGTGGCGCCAGCGCGCCCTCGACCTCGGCTTCTTGTACTGTGCATCCGGGCCCCTCGTGCGCTCAAGTTACAAGGCCGGCGAGGCGTTCATCGAGAATGTGTTGAAGAAGCGGAGGGGGCTGGGGTTAGGCAGTGTGGGCGCGGAAGAGGCGAGAGCGGGTAAGGGCAAGGTGAATGCCAAGGAGAGTGTGGAGAGATTGTTGTAGTCGTATTTGTGATTCTGATTCTGATTCTAGCTAGCGGGTTCTCTTGTACAAGTAGTACGGGCGGAACCGTCTTGGTGTTTTGCAGGCCTGAGCCACATGAGGATAGGGATGCGAGTTTACACCTACCGCAATCCAACCAGAATAGCCTTCAACACGGCGCCTACCACCCTGTCATCACCTCCCCTTCCCCACTTTGAAAACCCGTTAGGAACTGAACATTCGAAACCTCAAAAGAACCTCCGCCATTCCCTCCCTCTCCTCACCAGCATTAAATTTCACTAAACAAAGTATCTGACTGGACACAATCCGTATCCGTACACCAGAGTGCATGGCACGTCAAGACTCCATAGCACATATGTGCAAAATGCGATGAGACAAGGAACACGATGGCATGGGATACGACAAGACAAGGTAAGCATGGTCTAGCAAACAACGATGCATTCATTGTCCACGAAACGAATTTCCCTGCAACCACGACCACAATATATGAAACCCAAAGATGACCACCCCACGCTCTCAACCCCCCTCTAAAAGAAATCCTAAAACCCATGACCCAATCCACCATTCAAACACCTTCCTAAACAGAAAAAAAAACATCCCGACCCGGGCCCGCCTTTCAGTAATGCATGCGCCTCAGTTATTCGGGAATCCAGCCCTGAGGTTATCATACTTGGATGCCGGGAACGCCAGGACATTGGAACTTTGATCGAGGGCGCCGACACCGCCTACGGAATTGACAAACTATTGTGGATTTGGGGTTAGCAAGTGTGATTCGATAGAGAGATGGAAAAGAAGAAGAAGAAAAAAACTCACTGTAGAAATCAAACTTCCGTCACCCTTGCGATCCGCACTACTCTCCCACCACATCCCTCCAGCCAATCCCATATCCCTAATCAACCCGGCCTTCCTCGCCACAGTCCCTACAGTATCATAGCTCACCATGGTCCGCGCCGCGTCGTCATAACTCCAGCTCGCCACAAGCCTGTCATCCTGCACCTCCTTCGCCCCATTCAACGGCAACGCCTTGTAATCCCACACGCCATTCTCCCAGCTGCCCTGTCCGACGCCCTGAAAGGGTTTGCCCGGCCCATCGGTAGCCGTGAACGCGCGGCCATAGAGTGGCATGCCGACTACGATTTTGTTGGCCGGGACGCCGGCGGCAATATAATCATCCAATGCCTTTTGGGTGCTAAAGGGCGTGCTGGTCGGGTTGTCGGTGGATGGGTACCAGTTTGCCTGGTGTCCTGCGTTTGCGTCCCATGAGCCGGCGTAGTCGTAGGCCATGAGGTTCCAGAAGTCGAGATAGCGGTCCATGGCCGCGAGTTTCATCTTGTTGTAGTTTTGTGGGCCGGCGGGGGATGCAATGGTCAGGAGAAAGTGTTGGCCTGGGGCGTTTTGGGCCGCATAGGCGTCGAGGGCTGAGCGGGTGGCGGCAAGGAGGAGAACCATATTTTGGGCTTGGGTTTCGTCAGAGGGGTACTCCCAGTCAATGTCGAGGCCTGGGACATCCGTTAATTAGTATCACACAAAGGAGAGGATGTACTTGGAACGCACCGTCGAATCCGAGGTTGGCCAAAATGTCAACGGCGCTGCTTGCAAACTTGGCACGACCCTGCTCTGTAGCAGCGGCCTGGGGGAAATTCGCAGAGTAGGTCCAGCCACCAATGGAAAGCAAGACCTTCATCTTGCGGTTCTGCTTCTTGAGGAGGAAGAGTTGCTTAGCACAGCCATAGACGTTGGTGCCGACATCATTCCAAGAGTCGTTGGGATAGTGCTTGTCAGTGTCGGCCCAAGTATCAGTCAAATATACCTCGCCCGACTCAGGGCGAACATTAGCAAAAGCGTAGAGTACATGTGTAATCTCATTCCCAGGGAGGTCCTGTGGATGGTGGTTTCGCCCATAGATAGCCTGGTGATGTGTCAATAAACTGCATGTGAATGACAGAATACAGAGATAGCAGATATACCCAATTGACAAAGTAGGCAACGTTCTTGTATCCTGTAGCTCCTGTGGCCATGTTTCCGGTACTATTGGTGTTCTGTGGAATAGCTACAGCGTGGGAAAATGTCGAGAAGGAAAGTAAAGATGCAGCTCCCGCTAGGAGGGTTTGTACAGCATGCATCTTATGATGTCGTTGGCGGGAGGCTGTGCTGTGCTACGTGTCTGTGGCGCAACGCTAGTATGCAGGTACCCAAATGGCTTCGGTTGATGCAAAATGCAATGTGGATCTTCTAGTTTATCTTGCTGATTGAAAGAATGTAAGAGATCAAGGTATATATATATACAAGATCTCGCAGGAACAGACACAGACTTGATCCTAAAGTGAAAGGCAAAGTACAGGAGTGGACGGGGTTTATCGACCACGCGACAAACCAAAGGCAACCAAAAAATGGAACTGGATTCACTTTTAAAGGAATGTGACAAGGAAGGGAAAGGGTGTCAGAGACAAGATGGTGGAAAATGTATCGTTCCCCTGGTTTAAATCATTGCCCACGCGCTGACTCGGGCTGTCTATCAGTGGCAAGTAGAGCAAGGTGCCCTCGTCAAGATTCCCTCGTGCCTGATGAACGAGGCATCATTGCTCCTGTGCCACCTGGGCATGCACATCTTGGTGTAGGATTGACAGGGTCGTAGGAGGTTGCATCTGGGGATAGACCTGCAGCCCAGGAAGCGAGCCAGTCGGATGACGACTACTTCTACGAGACAGTTCGCAAATAGGTCGACATGAGCTCCGATTAGACGCCCAAAGATTTAGCACAATTACCGAATCACTGCCGGGGGTGGCGGATGCATTTTCTTCTGCGCTTGGGTGACGAGGAAGCGTCGCAGTCGTTGAGGTCTGTACCCGAAACGTAGGATGGGGCGTCAAGTATATTTCGAATCTAACAAGGCGACTGAAAGTGCTGACAACTCATGACCTAGACTCTTGAGATGCTTCTGATGGTAATCTGTTGGTTTATCGGAGTGTTCCAGAGTGAATCGGTGTGCTTGCTTCGGAGATCGATTCTTGTCATCCGGACTATAATCTTCAGACCTAACGCCATAGGACCCTCGTATGGTGATACTGACCAGATGTGTCTTTATACTATTAGACTTATGGCGTGTTCCGACAACTGTGGCTTCTGCATCGCTCGTCATGGGTCCTGAAATTGAGATCAGGGTGTAGGAACGAATGAAAAACCAGAGAGTAGAGAAGACCACTGGTAGCTGATAGTGAACAGAAACATGGCGTTTGACGATACTACCTGGGCCAGGGTGGGGAGGATCAAGACCAGAGGGCGCATGGATTTGAGCCCAGATCGGATAAGGGCCGGATAAGACCGTTGTAAGCCTTGCCGTATCGAATCGCTTGCGTGGGGCCACATGAGCATGTGAATGTATCGCGAGCGCGTGGAACAGTCAAGCTATGCGACCATCTGATATCTAATCAATGCAAAGAAAACGTTCCTTATGCAGAGCATGAGTCGGAGAGCGAGTATCTTTCGATGGTGCCGTGAATCTGTTTAAGGCACATTGCTAGAGCCGTGATGTATGGAACGTACTCAAGGTCCATGTACTGGTACACAGGAAGACATCGACTGGGAACGGCGGCTAGCGGCATTTACCCGCAAATCACCTCAAAAACGAGCTGTCTAGAAGGGAAAGATATCCGGGCGAGTCTCGACCATTAACGTCCTCGAACGCGCTGTTCAGAGTGACTTGGACTGCCCCTATCAGGCTGCGTAAGTGCTTTGCGGTGTCGTGTGCAAAGCCAACTTGGAGCAGCCTTGAGCCTTGAACATGCGCTCACCATCTATCCTGCAAAGCAACCTCATGAGACCGCTGATATCAGCGTTGCGATCAAGAATGACCTCGAGAGAATAGCATGTCCCGTATAGTGTTGCATCCAGGTCGCTGCTACGCAGAACAGCTGGGCGCGCGGCTCACAGGAAGCATGTGTTTGCAGATCGCGTACATGGGTCAGCGGTAAACGTTTGGAAACGAGCTGTCGGGACAACAACAGCTGTTGCAATAGAGTGTATGTAGTTGACTGCGGATTTTTGTGGGTGAGAGATGAGGTTGGAGGTTAACACTGAAAGTGACACAAAGCGCGGGACGCGTTACACGCCCGACGCCCCTTCCGCTTGTGTAGTGTAACGTCCCACTATCCAAGCTGTCACCAGTAGTAGAATGAAGTACGTACAACATATGCCTGAACACATTATGAATAGTAAGCATTAATGTGCCCTATTCGAATGAGAAGCATGTGCCAGAGTGTCTGCTCTGTGAGATTCAGAGGCTATCTATCTATGGAACCCGATCATGGAATGTGTTTTGCTCTACCAAAGACGGATGCACCACAACACCTTTCACACGTCTTGTCGTCGCAGGTGTGCAGCAGCAACAAGCGGCAATCTGTGTTCAGACGAACGCCTTCTCTTCCACACTCCCATCCAGCTTCTCCAACTCTGTCTGAGCCGTTTCGAAAAGTCCAGCTGCTTTGAGTAGTTCGCTATCCACCATGCTGCCTGCAAACGGTACCTTGGGCCCTTCGGCCTGAGGCTTCCAGTTCTCTCGCTTTTCTACAGCCTCGCCAGCCTTGAGTCCGCCTTTAGCAAGCGCCTTCTTCTCCAGCCTATCTACCTCGGCCCTCTTATCATGCACCTTTTTCGACAACTTCTCACGGCCGGGGGCAAGCTCTGGCTTGTCAGCTGGGCATGCCTCAAGAGCAATGCACATTTCAACAAGGCTCCTTCGGGCCTCGTCGAGCTCGATATGTTCGGGGGTCATTTCTGAAGGGAGCGTTTGGATGGTGGGATTGATATCATCCGCCGAAAGCTCGAGCGGGTTATCTGGCGATGGCTGCGGAGCCTCCGCGTGGACCTTCATGTCAGGATTGCAATAGTTCTCTGGATTCTGGGCGACTTCTTCAAAGAATGACAATATCGCGTGCTGAACTGTGTAATTCGTGAAGATGCACTCTGCGACTGATTCTTCACCACCCGCAAATGTCGGACAGACGATGACTTGCTCCGTTGACCATTCAGTGTAGGGGACTGCTGCCGTCTTTGAGACCTTTTTCTCTTTTAATGCAGTGGTTCCAAGAGCGAGGCGATGCAGCCTGCTTGCCATGGCTCTCAAAGGCCGTGATGTCGGGAGATCCTCGTTCCAATGGATATGCTGGGCGGAGTTCATGATTCTGGAGCCATTTGGAAACGACTTATTCGGGCTGTAGTCATTCGGCAGGCCAACGCAATGAAGAGGATCAGAGGTAGCATCAGTATACATCCATTGGCGCGTTCGCTGGTGAAGAAACGCCCTCAAGCTTGGGTGCTGGATTTGCGACTCGTCGATGGTGGAGGAAACTAGTGCCATTGCTGTGATTCGGGATCCATACTTGTCGACTAAACACTTTTGTTAGTATATCGCGGGGCATGACTCTTCCAAGCACATACAGTTATCAGCAAGTACATCAATTACGCTCGCCGTTCCATCCTCAATCGCAATGACATAGAGCTCTGCGTCTGGAGCTACCAGTGCCTCATTGCAGAGAACCTCATCAAAAACCGTCTTGATATGCTCTTTAGGGGATCGATGTCCGTGGACACTATTCTCCTCGTCGTGGATGCGAATCATGTCGTGTGCTATTGACTTGCGCGGCATCGCCGACCAACTACGCATCGTCATCGTTTGATTGAATTTGTGCGAGTACAACAACTGTCCTGTATTCAATACCATCAATGCGGGAACATTCTGCTCATTCTCCAGCTTAAAGCCATCCATGAAGATCTCGTCGTCCAGCTTGGCACTCTGGTCGGTGGACGATCGCTTGATAATTTCTTTTACAAAGTGGACTGCCGATCCGCCGTTGATACCAAGCTCGCGCTGCAGCTGACGGTACGCAAGGATGCCGAGATCCTGCGATGAATCGTTGATAATCACGATGATGCGCTTTCGTGTCTTGAGGATCTTAGGCTCAGGCGAGAGGATGGGGATGTGAGGGCCAACAGGCTTGGTTGGTGTGAAACCCGGAAGATGGACGCGCTTGATGCCCAGCGCATACAGCCGACTCTCAGATTGATCTCGCTGGCAGGCTATCACGGGGTCAGTCTATCCTCGCTAGCCCTACGTACGACTTACCCTGCATGGCTTCGCGGCGCACCTCATTGACACGCTCGTTGTTTGTAGCGTGGAAAATGTAGGGCTTTTCTGGCGCCACGATCATACGGATATGGCCCTGGTTGTTGACGAAGAATCTGTCGCTGTCAGGTGTGTGCCCATGAAAGTAGATCTTGCACTCACCCAAGCTGCTTCAGGTCTACAGGGAACGAAGGATCAGGTTCCAGTGTGTTCTCTATGCGGCGAAACATAATGCTAGGCAGCGTGCACTACTAGGCGGCTGGTAGTAGGTGTGTTGGGAGCCAGAGAGGTAGTTCAGCTTCAAATCGAGCCTCTGACAATATCGTGGATAGTGTAGAAGCAAACAGGATTGCTATCAGTGTTGAGGAGGCGCAATCGAGGGCAATCATAAACTAGGTAGTGCGGTTGATGTGATGTCGAGACTAGTTGTTTGGTGATGTGCCTAGTTCTTGCATTAGCGGTAAGATGCAGCAGAAAGAGAAGGAACGTTGTGAGGCAGGAAATGAGTCGCAGTCCATGTCTATGCAAGAATTCTATGTTCTGATTGATTGTCCCAACCCAAACTGCGCCGCCCAATGCCAGAATCTGGTGGCGTAGTAATAATGTACAGTGTTCCCACAAGATCGTTGCCCCATAGTTTTACCAGCTCGCCTTCTTGACACCGGGTAAGTTTCCAGCCAACGCATTGATACGGAATTGATACTGCCGCAACCGTTAGCATGTGCCAGACTAGAGACCATGAGGAGATGTACTCTGCCAAGCCTGAAGTCGCTGAAGACACCACGCCCTCTGCCACCCATTATACATCTGTTCTTGATCTGCGTGAAGCGTGTGTAGCAGTGCATCTGGGACAACTGGAGTTGGGCCTGTGCGCGGGCTCGCTGTGGAAGTGTGGTGTTGCGAATGATGTATCGAAGGGCTTGACTATTGCGCCGTGGTTGTCAGTGCTGCGTTGGGTAGGCTAGGCGTGAAGATGGAAAGGCGCATACCGCTCAGGCTCATTCTCGGCGTACACTTTCCGTTTGGTGTGGTCGCGAATGTTGCGAATCTTGGCGAAGCCTCCAATATCGAGCTTGGCTGCGCGAAATTGAGACATGATGGCGCTGGGCGACTCTGGCTAAAGCTCTGTCCGAACAACGATGGTGTTGTGAATGATGAGGTTCTGCGGCAAGTCGACGATTCTGCCGCCAGTTGCCGCCTTTAGCGTCACCAATTAGCGCTAACCTTTCGTCTCTCCAGATACATTACAACGACATTTCCCATTCACTGCCATTCTTGATCAAAACAAGTAAAAAACTGCCCATTCTTTAATCTATTCGACTGGCTGTGTGAGTTCAACAGACAGAACCTCACACGCATCCATACACGTCTGGTCTCCCCACAGGTACTTGGTGTAGAACAACCATCCCATGTTCGAGTAGGTAGATTCCTACTCTACACTCCTGCCCACAGACTCCAAATTGGCTTTTGTAGTAATCTTGACCTGTGATAATACAGCTTGGGAGGCTGTCGCGGTGCCGGTATCTGAGCAAAACCTCCAAAACCTCCCATAACAGGTCACGCGCTAGGCGGCTTAGGTATCTACTTAGGCGACTCAACCCTTCACCACAATGTTCTCTGTCAGGGACGCCAAGGAGATCTTCCAGCTCTTTCCTCCACAAAACACCCCAGACTTTCTCCCTTCTTTGATACTTTCTTCTGGAGGCCATGGCTTCTTGACGTTGGACTTTGTCAAAGCTCGATTCAGAAGCTGCGTGACCAAGAGCAAGCAACCCTTTCAAAAGACCGATGCACGATACTAATGCATCATTAGATTCAGGAAGGATACCTATCCACACCCTGGCTGATGATCTGGACGTGGATCCGGATCTTGTTCTCCAACTCGTTCGAGCCCATCCAGCTCTTACTTTACTTGGCGCCGACAACAGCAGCGTCATTACTATCGATCATAGAGATGCGCTCTTACAGAATCTCACTAACAGCCTATCTGATGGTGTGATCCAGAGGTCAGAACTTGCAGAAGCACTTGACGTTGACGAGAAGAGTGTGGATCTACTCTTGAATGATGTAGAAGGGGGAATAGTGCTTGAGCAGGGACATGTATTCAGCAAGACTTATGAGCGAAAAGTTTCAGATATTATTGCAAAGTCGTTGCAATCTCCAAGTGTGGATCTATTGTCAGTATCCTACTCTGCTATTCCAGCCAGACAACTCACACATTATAGGCCTGTGGACATCAAGACCCAAACTCTTCCCGGCGCACCGCCCCCTTGGTTCGCGCTGCATGTCTTGAGAGACGTACTAGAGACCCTCTCCCTGAAACATTCATATTTGGTCAAGGAGAATCCGGATGGAGCACATTGCTACCCCAAAAAGCTACTTGAACAAGATCGAGATGCCGTTATACATAATTTAGGGTGCGGGCAGCTTGCATACATTGATCTTTCATCTTTTTTCGAAACTTTCTCTGAGTTCTACGCGAATATCGACGACGCAGTGGAGCATGTTCAAATAGAGGCACACATTGACTTGATCAATTCGTTTGCCGTCTCGGTCGCGAAGAGGCTGAACATAGCGAAGGCCTGCACGCAGTCTCTGGCAGAGGACGGACGTGTCAACCTTGCAGTATATCTCTCTCTATCCCTACTAGATGAAGTACTAATATCCTTCGCAGCATGTATTGGAAGAATATCCGGAGAGCCTTCGGACTCGGATCTTGCAAGACATCACGCGCGATATTAATAGCATATATCGAGACGAATATGGCGCGTCGGCGCTACAAGTCGGAGACTTTTTATTGGCGTCCGAATCATATGAAATGGAAAGACGCGTGCTTATAGATTATGCAGAGCTTGACGCTACCTTCCAGTGGCAGCAGCTGCGGGAACATCCAGAGAAGGAGGTGAAGTATAACTTGGTCAACATCGCAGGATTGATCACAAAGGATCCGCTAATCGAAGCTTTAAGCAAAGAAAAGATTGTTAAGAAGGCTGTCGAGGAACGCTTCTGGGCCAAAATTTCATGGCAAGAAACAGAAAATGAAGCGCAATTCGCCGAGTTCTGGACGGAGCGTGTTCACTCAAGATGCCAAGTCTATAAAGAGGGTCTCGATAAGGTTTCAGACGAGAAATTACGCGATCAGCTTTTGGAGATTCTCGTGGCACACGTGAAGAAAGAACTCATACCCGAAGCTATCGCCAGAGCACAGTCACAAGGACTGATGGTTAGCCGCAAGACACGCAAGAACATTGGCGCAGTTGAAGATCTTCTGAAGCAACATGACTCAAATCTGGCTGGCATCCTTGCAGTTCTAAAAAAATTCAGCATCAAATCCAGCATCGAGTTGAATGACAAAACGGTGCTGCAAGCGAAGCAAAGCATGGCTAACGACATGATTCGGAGAATGCAGAAGCAGAAGAAATCTGATGGCCCTGTATTGTTCCTGACATTGGTGCTCGTCCTCTTGGCGAAACACAATGAGGGTGTTGTGTACGCCACCGGCAAGTTTGCACCAAAACTGCTCAAGCAGCTCAAGACCGTGTTGTCAGTGGAGCAGTATGAACAGATGGAGAAATGGAAGGAGGCTGCGAAGACGAGCTCGTTAACTGCGGAGGATAGAGCTGCGATGAAGAGTATGGCGGAAGCTTGATCTACATGAGTGGGACTAGGCGGTTTGTGGAAGACAGCAAGTGTGCTTATAATGCTAGAGGAAGAGGTGTGATTGACACGTCCAATGTAAGAGCTAGAAGAAGAGCAACGACGTGGAGGGAGTTCTGGAGCTGTTGCCGAGCATGTCCCAATTTTCGAGAGAATCATAGACAAACACAGAGGCTAAGCTGTTGACTCCCAAGTCAGTGGTCCTGGTTCCTAGATGTTAGGCCTATCCATGCAGCGTATCAAACAGATCACGTGCTGATGCTGGACCGGACGCGGCACACTCTATGCACACAGGCACTGGGCAGGACGTCGCCCCTCGTGCAAGCCATCGTAACTGCTTGAGGATCAACAACAGAACCCTATCCACACGTTATCACAGGCAGTCTCAACTGCTTCAAGCCATACGGCAAACCCCTCCTCATACCACACTGTTGACTCAGGGCTGCTGACGGTGCAGTCACGGAGCGGACTTGTGCCCAACAGCACTCAGCCACAACCATTGTTTCCTCTGATCTGACATCAACTCTCACAAGGGCGATGTCAGCAACCGAAAAACACGAGCAATGAGAGCAACACAATCTCTACTAAGCTCGAGTATTGATGATGAGCGCATGGCCATTTGAGGACATTTTCTACAGGGAGACAACTACTTAACCTCGGTCGGGTTAGGCGTGGAGAGTGTGGTAGGTGCCGGTAACGTTAAGCTCTGGCCATCGGCAGCACGCCCCCCGCACAGCAGCATCCACCAGATCCACGACAGCATCATCTTCCATCGTCGGCGACATCAATTCTTCCCCTTGGTTTCTGAGGCTATCGTAATAACGTACATGGCTTCACCCGAATGATCAACAACGATGTTGCCCATCTATCGGCAGATGGTCGATGCCCCGCGTTCTCCCCGTACCTCGTGCATTTGCAAAGCGTATCAAGCGATCAACTGCTGCCATCGACTCCTGAAAACTACCTGGATCGATGTCGCTCACTGTCAAGCCATGCTTTCCGAGGCACGCCACATTGCATGGCTTGCGCTAATGAGTTGATGGCAGCACGTAGAGTAGTATTGGAATGTAAACTAAGACAGCCTCGCAGCGAGGCACCGACAAGGCCGACGAACCGACCATCGACATCATCCATGCACGCAGGCCAGGCAGCGCGCAAGAGCACGTCAGAATGAGAATCGCGAGTGGCGGCCCACACGTTCCAGCAGTCCTGCGATGCGTTTCTCTCAATCACGCATCCTGAAGCTAGTTCTGTCCTGATGGTGTTGCACGTCCTGCCAAATTTCCACCCGGCATGGCAGACGATGGGCGATGAGAAAACACCAACCTTCACCTAGATCGACGTCTTCGTCACGGTCGACCACGAATAGCACACGAGCAAGGACAGCGATGTGGTCCTAGATCTCAGAGCCGCCCTTTACTGCCGCCGCTTGATTGGCCGAGCGACTCAACATCGGTTCCAGGCAAGAAATTTGTTGCTTGAGTACTAGCGCCAATGGCGTGATTGAGCAAGCACGTCTTATGGCGAAAACGCGGAGAATGGTTACAAAGCGATAGCTAATGGCGGAGCCCAATATATCCTCCAGACTGTGTTTGACTTCATTTCCCACATCCCCAGACCTGAGCCATTCCCTATTCACAGCTCCTTTGCGACTTTGCAGCATTCTCATCAGTGATCAAGTCTGTTTCATCCAGTCCCTCATCAATCATTTCTGCACGTGCCTTTTGCCCTGGACTTCCCCCTATACGCCTCTCAGGATGTCGTCACCACTATTCAGCCAGCTCGAAGCCTACAAGCAGCCGACGATTCGCGAGGAATCTGGGTATGCTTCTGCGGCCTCGAGCCAAGAGAGCTTGACAGAGATCTACTTTACCAAGCCGCACCTCAAGTTCATCAACGCCCAATTGCAGAAACTGGAACCGCAGGGTAGGAGAAACTCCTCTTGTCAGCAAGATGAATGAGCTCACACCCTCTTAGACATTTTGAAATGGTGCATCACATCTTTGCCAGGCCTCTTTCAGACAACAGCCTTTGGCCTTACCGGACTGGTCACCATTGATATGCTGTCCAAGCTCGAGGGACCAATGAGCCACAACATCGACCTCATCTTCTTGGATACCTTGTATCACTTTGACGAAACCTATGCCCTTGTAGACCGGGTTCGAAGACGCTATGGGACCCACGTCCACGTGTACAAGCCTGCTGGTTGCGACAATGTCGACCAGTTCATCGCAAAACATGGCAACAAACTCTGGGAATCCAATGACGAGCTGTACGACTATGTTGCCAAGGTCGAGCCTGCTGAGCGAGCCTATTTTGAACTCCAGGTCAAGGCAGTCCTGACTGGCCGACGCCGCAGCCAAGGTGGCAAGCGGGGCGATCTCGATATTGTAGAGGTCGACGAAGCCGGCCTTGTCAAGATCAATCCTCTGGCTAACTGGTCCTTTGCACAAGTCAAAGAGTATGTAGACGCCAACAACGTCCCATACAACGACCTATTGAACCGAGGCTACAAGAGCGTCGGTGACTGGCACTCGACCCAGCCCGTCGCTGCTGGCGAGGACGAGCGCTCTGGACGCTGGAAGGGCAAGAACAAGACCGAATGCGGCATCCACAACCCCAAGTCTCGCTACGCACAGTTCCTCCAAGAACAAGAGATCAAGCAAAGGCAGGAGGAGTTGGCCAATGCCTTGGAGCAAGTATCATTGAAAGCTTGAGTTTGCCACTTGCCGTTTGACTTTTCTTCTTCTTCTTCTTCTTCTTCTTCTTCTTCTTCTTCTTTTGTTTCTGTCGATTAGCATCCACATTAGCATGGCGTTTGGGTTTTCAGGACACGACATGGTATGAAGGTTGAGAGACGGGAGCCAGTTCCCCACGGGGTCCACTGTGACGATGCATAACCGGGGCCGAGATATCACCGCCGGCACTGATATGCGAGCGATGTAGGTGACGAGCCAGAGAAGCTCGCTCACAGATGAATAGAATGAACACCACATGGCAAACTGCAAACCGTGAGCATCGTGAGGCCTGCCATTCTCGCTCGCCAAAGAGATGAGACAAACAAAGCAAGAGTTGGCTTCCTCCCGCTTGGCTTCCACACGTCATCTAAAGACCCAACGAGCGGGCTGGGGGGGTTGTCAGCCTCTAGCAAACGTGCAATTGCGCAATCGCGTCTAAGGATGCTAACCCATACATCCACCCGCTTATACCCTAGTTTCTTTCTGCATGCCAGGAAAAAAAAAGGAGTGTCTTCAGTCAACAATAAGCATTGGACGCATATCAAGCCTTAGGCGACATAAAAGGGCTCGTCGCGCCCTCTTGCCGTTTTCTCTGAAACGCGCGCATCTACACTCACCTACTCAACTTGCTCCCACTTCTCGACAACGAAGTTGTGGACTGACTTGCACTTTTTTTGATTTCATTCACAGCCAAAATAGATTCCCATTTCACATACTTGACGGCCAGTACCGGTAAAGCGTAGTCCAATTTCTATTGAGCAAAATGGCAAACCCCCCACACGGTATGTTTGAATCCAAGCACTTCTGTTGCAGGATATCAGCTGATATATTCCCTAGGCGGAGTCCTCAAAGACTTGATCGCGCGCGATGCTCCCCGACGCAAGGAGCTCTTCGACGAGGCAGAGACACTGCCGGCCATTGTGCTGACGGAGAGGCAACTTTGTGACTTGGAACTTATCTTGAACGGAGGTTTTTCGCCGCTGGAAGGTAAGTCGTCATTCTGCCGCGCTAGGCGAGGGGCAGACCATGTCTCGGCCCCTCCAGTTTGGCCTGTTTGCATTGTATGAGGCTGACGAGAGGACGCCAGGCTTCATGAACCAAAAGGACTATGATGGAGTCGTAGCAAACAACCGCCTCGCCGACGGCAACCTCTTCTCCATTCCCATCACACTCGACATCTCGCAAGAGACGATTGACGCCGTAGGCGTGAAGCCTGGCGCGCGTATCGCTCTGCGTGATTTCCGCGACGACCGCAACTTGGCCATCATCACTGTCGACGACATATACCGACCAGACAAAGAAAAGGAGGCCAAGGAGGTCTTCAGCCCCGATGGCGATGTTGCTCATCCAGCCATCGCCTACCTCTACAACACGGCCAAGGAGTTTTATGTTGGTGGCAAGGTCGATGCGATTGACCGGTTAGAACACTACGACTATGTCGGTCTCCGTTACACACCCGCAGAGCTGCGTCTGCACTTTGACAAGCTCGGATGGCAAAAGGTCGTTGCTTTCCAAACGAGGAACCCCATGCATCGCGCTCATCGTGAGCTTACCGTCCGCGCTGCCCGCGCCCGCCAGGCCAATGTGTTGATCCATCCCGTTGTTGGCCTTACCAAGCCCGGAGACATTGATCACTTTACTCGTGTTCGCGTCTACCAAGCCCTTATGCCCCGCTACCCTAATGGCATGGCTGTTCTTGCTCTGCTGCCCCTTGCCATGCGCATGGCTGGTCCTCGCGAGGCAATTTGGCATGCCATTATCCGCAAGAATCACGGTGCAACTCACTTTATTGTTGGCCGTGACCACGCTGGTCCAGGAAAGAACTCCAAGGGAGTCGACTTTTACGGTCCGTACGACGCTCAGGATGCCGTTGAGAAGTACAGGAGTGAGCTCGGTATCGAGGTCGTGCCCTTTTTGCAGATGACCTACCTGCCCGACTCGGACGAGTACAAGCCCAAGGATGAGGTTCCACAAGGTGTCAAGACTCTTGACATTTCTGGAACAGGTATGATAACTCCTATGAGTTCACGTGTATGCGAACTGACAACCCATGTAGAACTCCGCAAGCGCCTCCGTACCGGCCAGGAAATTCCCGAATGGTTCTCGTACCCAGAAGTCGTCCGCGTCCTTCGCGAGTCCCACCCTCCCCGTAGCAAGCAAGGATTTACCGTCTTCCTTACTGGCTACCAGAACTCTGGCAAGGACGCTGTTGCTCGTGCCCTGAACGTCACGCTCAATCAACAAGGAGGCCGCTCGGTTTCTCTGCTCCTCGGTGATACCGTCCGCTCAGAACTAAGCAGCGAGCTCGGCTTCTCGCGCTCCGACCGTGACAAGAACATTGCTCGCATTGCGTTTGTCGCTGCCGAGTTAACCAAGGCCGGCGCCGCTGCCATTGTTGCGCCCATTGCACCATTCGACGCCAGCCGAAAAGCGGCACGCGAAACCGTTTCCAAGCACGGAGACTTTTACCTCATTCACGTCTCAACGCCTCTTGAGCATGCAGAAAAGACAGACAAGCGTGGTATCTACAAGGCTGCTCGCGCTGGCCAAATCAAGGGCTTCACCGGCGTCGATGACCCGTACGAGACGCCTAAGAATGCGGATCTGAGCATCGATCTCTCAAAGACGAATGTCAGGACAGCAGTACACCAGATTGTGCTGTTGTTGGAAAGCAAGGGACTTTTGACTCAACTGTAAATCGGTGAGAAAAGCGCTATGATTGCATGTACGGTGTCTTTGGAGATTAACCGTGGGGACGCATTGATAGTTTTGATTCCAGTATGACGATAGACGATTGATTTTTTTTTGAAGGAATGAAGTCGAAGTGATGAGCAAAATGCTCCTTCCCACGCTACACTGCTCAAATCTTTGATATCTCCATTTCCTCCACCCAATCCCGCGTTGGCGGCGTGTCCAAAAAACTCCTCCGCTTCTCCCACACCTCCATCCATCTGGCCAGCCCGGACCTCCCTCTATTCCACTCGATCCCCAATTCCCCCATTCCCTTCGCCAACGCCAGAGCAACAGCCACAGCAATCTCATCTGGACTCGCAGCCCCCTTTCCAGGCACGCGCAACACGCCCATCCGAACAGCGTTCTCGAACCTATCCAAGATCCGCGTAATCTTGGTCTTTTGGCCCTCGACCCACTCTTTGAAGTAGAGGCCTCGCTCCTTGCGAATACGGTATTCGTACGTTATCAGAACTGCTGCGTCCATGATGCCGTCTGCTGCGGCATGCAGAGTGTGTAATTGCCAATACCTGGTGTCCTGCTTCTTCTTTGCCTGCGTCTGCTGACCAGCCAAGTCACTCAGATACTCACATATGATCCTCGAGTCGAACAGGCCGTCTGGCACATCTTCTGTCACCAGACATGGTATCTTACCCATGGGATTGTAAACTGCGACCGCGGCGTTGTCATCGCTCCAGCCTGGGATATTAATGGGGGCTACGACGACTTTTTGCAGGGTGAGATGTGTGTGAAGATTGAGTTCCTGAGCGTGCATGTAGACTTTGCGGGTGTAGGGGGAGAACGGGTGGTAGAGTAGTGTCAGCTTGGGGGTTTTGGAGTTGATTGTCTTTGGGATTGTCATGGTGCTGATGCGTTTGATGGTGAAGTTCCAGCGAGGGAAGTGAAGATGAAGATTTTCGTCGTTTTGAATGACGACTTCGTTAGTGGAGAGGCCGAGGAGGATGCCGGTACTTTTTCCGGATTGTCCGTAGTCAGAGGGGTAGACGTCGACTGAGTCGCCTTTGCGTAGACCCAGTGTGTTGTTGTCTTCGAAATCCAATGCTTCTGGCTCTCCCTTTGCCTGGACAAGCCTTTGCGTCACTTCCTCGGCCCCCAACCGCTTCGGCTTCTCACAGTCCCTCTTTCTCTGCTCCGCAAGCCCCATAAACCTCCGTATCCACGCATGAACTTTTGGAAACTCCTCTTCCCCACACAGGCCACCCCGCAAACTCCCTTCCATCCCTCTATCCCACACTAGCCATTCAAACGGCCACACCGCATCTACATCTGCCACCGTAGGCCCTGTACTGCCCAAAACCCACTCCCTCCCATCCGCAAAAAAGGTCCGTTCCAACATATCGAACGCAACCCTCAACGCCGCCAGTCCCTCTGGCCTTCCCTTTTCCATACTCTCAGCGCTCATCCGCCGTCCCCCCATCAGCGTCTGCCGATCATCCAGGAACGCCTTATTCTGCAACAAACTCTCAGAATTCCAGTACGGCATCAGCTTGACTGCAGCAGCAAATATGCCTCCATCGACGGTCCAGTTCTCGAGTAATTTTTGGATCCCGAGTTCCGTCGGCGTGGACGGCGTCAGCGTGCTGTTTGGATACCGTTGTTCAAGCTTGGAGATGATGAGCCGTGAATCATGATAGATGTCTTTTCCAATAGCCAGGAGGGGGATTTTTCGGTAGGTGAGGGAGAGTGAGGAGAGTAGGGGGCGGGGCATGATGGGGGGTTGAATGCTTTCATCGTAGGTAATTCCGCGGAGCCAGATATACCAGAGGACGCGGTGGGAGTATATGGATTGGGGATAGTGGAAGAGAATTGGTTTTTCTGGTGGTGTCGTCATGACTTTGTGGTAGTAGTTTAGACTTCTAGGTGCTTGCGAGAGATGTCGTGTATTATGACGATAATTGGAATCGAGGGGAATGATATCGAATGCGTTCTCAGGCCTAGGACAACAATGACTCACTACGGTAAAAAATTGTTTACTGTAGAATGGTACGCTAGGGGTTTACTATATAGGTGTAAACTGACCTCGTGTATACCCGTAAATAGGTTTAAAGTGGTAGTTTACTTTATTATAGGTGGTTTAAATTAAGTATAAAAAGTAGTTTTATATCTATTATACGCTATAATACCTAACTAAGACTAAAAGGGGTAGAAAAGATTAGCTTCACGCTATACGCACATATGACATAATAATGAGTCATGATATTTTTACTAATAGGAGGTGGTGATAATAGAGGTGGTGATAGAGGTGGTGGTAGAGGTAGTGGTAGAGGTGGTGGTAGAGGTAGTGGTAGAGGTGGTGGTAGAGGTAGTGGTAGAGGTGGTGGTAGAGGTAGTGGTAGAGGTGGTGGTAGAGGTGGTGATAGAGGTGGTGGAGGTAGTGGAGGTGGTGGAGGTGGTAGAGGTGGTGATAGAGGTGGTGATAGAGGTGGTGGTAGAGGTGGTGATAGAGGTGGTAAAGAAGATTAAAGAAAGGAGGGGTAAAATACTTAAATAGTTAGTAGGAAACTAGTTATTACTAATACTAGTAGATTAATAGAAGTAGAAATAAAAGTAGTTTACTTTTATGGAATATATAGTATAATAAACCCTATTTAGGTTTACTTCTTCTACCTAAACCACTTCTTGGTCTACTTTAGATAAATATGGCTACTGTAAACCGGTTTTGTACTGTAGTGACTGCTTCAGATAGGATGGTACCTAGCCTTGGTTTTCCCCCACGGACGGTGGCGTTGAGCCGAGGTTCATTTGATGGGACGCATTGGTCGCAATTCAACACAAGGATCATTGGACTATCGTATTACTTTCAACTACGGTGAGTAACGTCCATGTAGCGTTCAACAAAACAGCACTGAACGCTATAATCTCCGGCAGTCTGTAGAGGCCACCGTATGAAGTGTTAGAGAATACTGAGTGATATATGAAGGAGGTGAGTGTACAGTGTGCTCTTAAGCCCTATGGCTGACTATGTGCAGGTACCGTATATCAAGCTTGATCAAGGACGACAATGTTTTCTAGTATATCAACTGCCGACAGCTTCAGTTTGTAAAGCCTCGCAATAACAAACAGGATCTTGAGATGGAGCTATTGGGTGGGGTTGATCGTTTCGAGTATTATAGTTTTAGGATGACAAAGTACAAGACTGATTACTTTGAAAGAAGAATAGGCACTCATATATATGGGAGCAAAATCTATACTAAACTTTGCCTCATCTAGTTATAAGATCACTATAGATTTGAAGTACTCCAATTCAAGATAGCACTTAGCACCTTTAATCAGGGGAATGACAGACCACGGCCTTTTGTTGACAACCATGATTCGCTGTTGCTATCCGAAAGTCACCGCTCCCCGGCCGGGCTCGACTCCGCAACTGCCAAACAATCATTTGTGACGCCACAGAGCCTGCGCGTACTTAAGACCAAGTCAACGTCTATTGGGTATCATACCAGTCTCAAAGCCTCTATCAGTCTTGAGACAATCGGACCAAAACTATCACGACCGACACCAACCACTATGCCTCAAATCACTCTCTGGTTCCTCCAAGCATCTCGGAGTATCCGCACGGCCTGGCTCCTCGAAGAGCTCGGTTTAGACCACGATCTCAAATTCTCTGAACGTGCGAATCAGAAGGCCCCTGAGGACTTCAAGATCAATTAGGGAAACCCGCTTGGGAAATTCTCCACACTGCAGGATGGGAATCTGACGAGCCATGAAAGTGGTGCGATACATGGGTATGTTGGTAATAGTGATTGTGCTCGGATGGAGACTACTAACGTGTCTCAGCTACCTTTGCCGACACCTATGACAAGAGCGACAAACTCCTTCTCCACGATCTAGAGGAACGTATCAAAGTCCGTCAATGGGCTCGTGCCTCTGAAGCCACTTTTCTCCTGCACGCCCTCGCCATCCTCTATGCACGCTGGAACCTCCCCAAGGGTGTACACGCAACTACCGTTGAAGCGCTGGAAAGCGGGATATCCATCAATTTGCAGAAAGCTCTATCTTGGCTAGAAACTGAGCTGTCGCTTGCATCTGGGAGATTTACATGTGGCGATCAAATTACTGGAGCGGATATTGTGATGCAATTCTCAGCAGATTTTATCTTGGCAAGAGAGCGTGCGGTGGAAAAGGCAGGCTATACATTGAAATTGCATGTGTGGATATAGAGGCGGAGATGTCTTTGAGTAATGTGTTTACCTATGATTAATTCTTCCCCAACACCTCACGTCCACACTGCTCAGGCGTTGCCTTAATCTCTCCTCGAGCACTGTGACATGCGTGAGACATTCGCTATTCTCATAGCTCTGTAGCCGAATGTCTTTGTAAGTCGGATCGCATTCCTCCTAATTAGCTCTGAAGCAATCAGTTCCAAAGCTACCTGCCATCAACATTGGTCAGGGATGCAAATCCAACGTGCAAAATTCTTGTGCCTCTGAGCCAGTCCCTTTCTCTCTTCGAAAAGATTGATGGAGTCACAGGCTATGAAGAGGACGAGAATGTACGTCCATGTAGAGGTATGCTAGGTGATCAGAGGGACTTTCATCGCTTTCTCCACATGCTTCGTTGTATAAACGATCAGGTCTAATAGTGAACTTTGACTTTGCCCGTGCTGCTGGACTGATGTTTCGCGAATAACACAAGCACAGACAGCAGCATTTGTCTTTTTGACAATTCCCTCGGACCTGTATCAACTCTGGCCAAAAGACCATCATGATGCCTGGACCTAGATCTGTGAAGTAGATGTTGGATAGAAGATTTAGGTAGGTAAGGATCAAATACTTATTGACTAGGTACCTATACACAGAGTTGGAGTTTTGTACAGCACCAAGCTAGTTCTATCTTACAAGTAGACTCCAGAGCGTCCTTCGTTCAACGTTGATCGCCAATGGTTAGAAAGAGGTGTCTGATAATACGTATTGCAATGTGTTATACATCCCCACATGTCCATTTGATCGCCTTTCATCTGATTGGCACGGCGCGAACGGAGCCAGGCCAATTAGGGCTACGCTAAGTCGGACCCCTGATCCTCTCTCCAGAACTGCGTCCGGCAACCGAGGGGGTTTTTGTTGACCTCTTGACTCTTGAGTCTCGTCAACCCAGTGCTCATGTACGGTAACAGTCCAGACCATCGAAGCTGCTGCAAACATGGCGCAAAGAATGCTTCTACGGCCTACTGGCCTTTTACTCGCTCGTCGACCACAATACGCCTATCGTTCGTTCAGCACTGTGCTGGACACACCCATTGACCCCAGAACGCAACAAGCAACCCCACCAGCGCGGCTAACATCGGTTTTTGAAGATGCCCTCAATGCAAGTGGACCCAGGACGAACTGGACAAAGGAGGAGATATCAGAGGTGTACAATACGTCCCTGATTGACCTGACTTTCGCTGCGGTATGTTGTCCTCACATGCCCATCTGAAACAGCATGGCTCATTGTCCAGTCTACGGTACATCGGCGGTTTCATGATCCAGCAGCCATTCAGATGTGCACGCTGTTCAACATCAAAACAGGAGGCTGTAGCGAAGACTGCTCCTACTGTGCTCAATCATCAAAATATGACACGGGTCTCAAGGCTACCAAAATGAGCTCTGTTGACTCTGTCTTGGCTGCTGCGCGTATCGCCAAAGAGAATGGGAGTTCGCGATTCTGCATGGGGGCAGCATGGCGCGATATGCGGGGCCGCAAGACTAATCTCAGAAATATCAAAGAGATGATCAAGGGCGTCCGAGGCATGGGTATGGAAGCATGTGTTACCCTTGGTATGGTCGACGCTGCGCAAGCAAAGGAGCTCAAGGACGCTGGCTTGACGGCCTACAACCACAACGTCGACACCAGCCGTGAGCACTATCCAAGCGTCATCACCACGCGCACCTATGACGAGCGTCTCAACACCATCAAGAATGTGCAAGAAGCTGGTATCCACGTCTGCACCGGTGGAATTCTCGGGCTTGGGGAAAAGGCCCGCGATCACGTTGGTCTTATTCACACCGTTGCAACGCTGCCCGCTCATCCAGAGTCGTTTCCCGTCAACGCTCTGGTCCCCATCAAGGGTACGCCGCTTGGAGACACGCAAGCTATTTCCTTCGATGCCATTTTGAGGACCATTGCGACAGCTCGTCTGGTGATGCCAAAGACCATCATCAGGCTCGCCGCCGGTCGTCATACGATGCGCGAGGAGAAGCAGATTCTGTGCTTTCAGGCTGGTGCGAATGCCGTCTTTACGGGAGAGAAAATGCTGACGACTGCTTGCAACGGCTGGGAGGAAGACAAGGCCATGTTTGGCCGATGGGGATTGAGGCCCATGAAGATGGAGGAGACTATTGGAGAAATGCGCAAGGTGCCTGGGCAGGACGAAGCCGAGGCTGTTGTTGCAGCTGCTGAGGCGGAAGCTACTGTTCAAGCTCTTGCTTGAGTGAGACGAAGAACAAAGCATATGGAGTAAATCAAGTAAAAAAATTGATTCAAAGCCTAGCTCTAGATGGTTCTGTCTTCTTGTTACTCTCCTGTTTTTCACTCGCCTGGCCATTGCACCATTCCTGAAGCGCACTGACCAATTGCTCGACCTCTGATGCTGTATTACCAGCATGCAAACAAATTCTCACTCTGGCAGTTCCTACCGGCACAGTAGGAGGAACCACCGCTCTCACCATCTTGCCCCGACTTTGTAGAAACGCAGCCAGCTGCCTGGGACTTTCTAGTTGAACAGAGAATATGGGTGACTTTGGACAGGCGCTCGGGATTTTGAGCATCGATCGTGATGTCGAGGAGATGGACTGAAGATCAATGAGTTGTTTGTAGAGTGTTTCGGTCAGGTGGTGGAGATGAGTTTGCAATGATATGCTCTTGCCTGACCAGAGTAATGTGTAGGATGATCGAATTAAGGATAGTGAAGGATAAGGGAGAAATGTTGTGTAAATGAGTGGACGTGCGTAGTTGATAAGATAGTGTCGGAGAGTCTTGGATCCTAGCACGATGGCTGGAAATGGTGTCAGTAACCGAAGCTGCCATCACAATTTATCACGATATCACATACCTCCGTTGCCCGCTAAAGCCTTTCCAAAGGTGTGGAGTCGTGCGAAAATGCAGTTGTCCAATCCAAGCTCCGAAACCAATCCTCTTCCTTGTGGCCCAAGGACACCAGTAGAATGCGCTTCATCCACAATTATGTAGCCTCGGTTGCGACCAAGAATATCCTCAACCACATCTACAATCGCTTTCAGAGGCGAAACATCCCCGTCCATGCTGTATATCGACTCTACTGCCACAAAAATGTTGCCCTGATTCTCCTTTTGGATACCTTGGAGTATCTGGCGTAGGTTAGACACTGAATTGTGAGCGAATGCAACCATCTCTCGAGCTCTAGACAGCCGCATCCCATCATGCACACTCGCATGGACAAGCTCATCGTACACAATCACATCCCCATGTTGCGGCACACAGGCGAAGAAGCCTGCATTCGCATCGAATCCAGAGTTGAACAAGAGGCCGGCCTCTGCACCGTGAAACCTCGCAATTTCCCGCTCTAGCTCTTCCGCATAGACTGAGTTCCCATCCAAGAGTCGCGATCCGCCACTTCCAAGCGGCAGATTGGTATTTTGAAGCTCATCGAGGTAGAGCGCTTTGAGCTGAGGTGATGTTGATAGAGAGAGAAAGTCGTTGGAGGAAAAGTCGATTTGATTGGGTTTGGGCAATGTCAGATTTCGAAGTGTAGAATTCTTGTGCCTCCGGTCGAGCAGGCCTTGCAATTGCCGTGTCAATGCTCCTGTTGGTCCATGATTCTCCATCTCTTCTCTTCTCTTCTGTTGTACACTAGCCAAACAGTATGTGGTTGGTAGGGGCTGAGGTAACGTGATCTCGATCCCTCTCAACTGCACCGTGCCGATCCCACGGCGGCTTCCGTAGTTACCGAGGTCAAATGTAGGTAGGTTAAAGCCGGTGCGGGCAGCTGTCAGCATTCAGCGGCGAACCCACGCCTTACGATTGATTTGATGATGTATCTCGATACTTGGCCTCTGTCCACAAGCCCGAAATCGGTTGAGCTCATTATGTATGCAGATACTCCAAGTCACAAGTGGACCCCTTCTCGGAGCCGTTCACCAACCAACTAGCGCTTCGTCCGCATTGGTCAATCGCTTCCAACTACCCCACGCGTCTCGATTTTGCACCAATATTCACATTGTCGCATCCCCTTTTAGAGAAACTCAATCATGGCAAAGGTGCCAGGAGGACTGTGGAAACATCTCGTTGCAGTGCAGGTCTTTGGTGCGAATACGGGGGTTGGCAAGACGGTGTTTTCTACCCTGCTGGGAAGGCATTTGTGGAAAAGAGCAGGGAAGACGGCATGGAAAGTGCATTATATCAAGCCTGTGTCGACGGGACCAGCGGATGAAGCTGATGATAGGTGGGATGATGTGGTATTCAAGCGTGAATCTCAATGTTGACCGTGCCCAGCTATGTGCTCAAGTATACCGGCCAGCGAGTGACGACCCTTTTCAAATTTAAGGAAGCTGTCAGCCCGCATGTTGCTGCGAGGGGTGCAGCGTATATTGTGAGATGTCGTATCTGCAGCTTTGATCAATCCTAACATGTTACATGTCTAGCCTAGCGATGAAGAACTTGGCCGAATAGTCTTTAAGACTCTCCAGCAAGAAGCCAGCGCAATACGTCTGGATTCAGCGACGAGAGGTTTTTCTATTGTCGAAACAGCAGGTGGTGTACTCAGCCCAGGACCATCTGGCACACCCCAGGCCGACATCTTCCGGCCTCTACGTCTCCCTGCGGTGCTGGTGGCTGACCATCGATTGGGAGGGATTGCATCGACTATATCAGCGGCCGAGTCCTTGAAGATGCGTGGCTATGATATCGATGCAGTGGTTTGTTTTGACGATGAGAGCAAGTACCAAAACGCCGAATACTTGACAAAGTACTTTGGCAACTTGGGCATCGCGGCCTTTACATTGCCATGGATTCCTGTCATGACGGGCATCGGAGCAGGAACTGCAAAAGAAATCGAGACGATGAGCAGCTATTACGACTCGCGGAGTAAGGAGGAGGGTATCCATAGCCTTTCAACCCATCTCATCAATCGCCATGTAGCCCGACGGGAGCAAATAGATACCATGGCGGAGCGAACACACAAGGCCATATGGCACCCTTTTACACAGCACAAGCATGTGGGGAATGGAGAGGATATTCTTGTCTTTGACTCGGCGTATGGAGACTACTTCCAGGTCCGAAATACTGGCAGCGCAATAAAGGAAAACGACTCTCTGCTATATCCTGCCTTTGATGGCTCTGCATCATGGTGGACACAGGGTCTCGGCCATGGAAACCCACGCTTAGCCTTGGAGGCAGCATATGCCGCAGGACGATATGGCCACGTCATGTTTGCCGGCGCGACACATGAACCTGCTCTCAAGCTGGCGGAGAAAATGCTCAGAGACCTCGAGAACCCACGGCTAAAGAGAATCTTCTATACTGACAATGGCAGCACAGCCACCGAAGTCGGTATCAAGATGGCGCTCAGGGCAGCCTGCAAGCACTATGGCTGGAATGGTGCAAAAGAGCCTGTGGGTGTCCTCGGTCTTAAGGGAAGTTATCATGGCGACACGATTGGGGCCATGGACGCGTCGGAGCCTTGTGTGTACAATGAAAAGGTCGACTGGTATCGTGGCCGTGGGTATTGGTTCGACTATCCAACCTATAAACTAAAACAGGGGAGATGGATTGTCGAGCCTCCTGCTGGCATGGAATGCGACTTTGGTGCATCGCAAGAGTTTAACACCCAAGACGATATTTTTGATCTCTCTGGAAGAGGGCGCTCAGACCTATACGAAGCTTACATAAAAAAGACTCTTGATCAACTAATCAAAACCGAGGGCCGCAAGTTCGGCGGACTGGTCATGGAACCAGTCATTCTCGGAGCTGGCGGCATGCTCTTTGTTGATCCGCTGTTTCAGCAGAGTCTTGTACGCATCGTACGTAGCTACAACTTTGCACCTGATGCTCCACTATCGGCACCATCATCAAGAGACACGAACGCCTGGACAGGTCTCCCCGTTGTTTTTGACGAAGTCTTCACAGGTCTCTACCGCCTCGGTCGCTTTTCCTCGTCCTCATTCCTCCAGGTCCATCCAGACATTAGTGCACATGCCAAACTGCTAACTGGCGGTCTGCTGCCTCTCTCCATCACTACCGCTAGCGATTCTATCTTCCAGGCATTCTGGGATGATGCAAAGTCTGAAGCTTTGCTCCATGGGCACAGCTACACTGCACATGCAGTAGGGTGTCACGTAGCCAATACCAGCCTCGAGACAATGCAGCACCAGGAGCAAAGTGACCAGTGGAGCTCATTCGAGAGACAGTGGAAGACCGATCGTGAACAGGGTGCAAGGGTACTGTGGAGCATGTGGTCGAGAGACTTTGTACATCATCTCTCACACAACGAGCAAGTCGAACATGTTAATGCGCTGGGGTCGGTGCTTGCAGTCTCTCTCGTCGATAAATCTGGTTCTGGTATGTCGCATGATTGATCTGTGAAGCGATGTTGGCTGACCATCGTAGGATATACATCTTCAGTAGCCGTGGGACTGCGAGACGCCTTGCTTCATCACTCCTCGGTCTCGAATGTCCAGATTCATTCGAGGATATTGGGGAATGTGATTTATCTGATGGCAAGTATGACAGTCAGGAGGCGGGATCTTGAGAGTGTGGAGGCGGCGTTCAAGGAGAAGTTGGAGGCGATGGGAAGGGCGTGAGAAGTTTTAGTAGGTGGGCCCTGGGGATGGGGGAATGTTGAGACTGAGTCTTATTGCCGCTTCTGGATTTGATGGACACATTTACTATTAAAATGGTTATAAGAGAACTCATACGGTCCTATAAAGCGGGGGCCGCTGCATTCAAATACATGAAAGAGTTTCGTCAACGACTATGAAAATCATTGCACTATGGTACAAAACCGGTTTACAGTAGCCATATTTATCTAAAGTAGACTAAGAAGTGGTTTAGGTAGAAGAAGTAAACCTAAATAGGGTTTACTATACTATATATTCTACTTTTACTTCTACTTCTATTAATCTACTAGTATTACGTAGTAATAACTAGTTTCCTACTAACTATCTAAGTATTTTACCCCTCCTTTCTTTAATCTTCTTCACCACCTCCACCACCTCTACCACCTCTACTACCTCTATCACCACCTCCACCACCTCCACCACCTCTACCACCTCTATCACCACCTCTACCACCTCTATCACCACCTCTACCACCTCTATCACCACCTCTACCACCTCTATCACCACCTCTACCACCTCTATCACCACCTCTATTATCTCCACCTCCTATTAGTAAAAATATCATAACTTATTATTATGTCATATGTACGTATAGCGTGAAGCTAATCTTCTCTACCCCTTTTAGTCTTAGTTAGGTATTATAGCGTATAATAGAAATAAACCTACTTTTATGCTTAATTTAAACCCCTACTATAAAAGTAAACTACTACTTTAATAAAAGTAAACCACTACTTTAAACCTATTTATAGGTATACACAAGGGCAGTTTACACCTATATAGTAAACCCCTAGCGTACTATTCTATAGTAAAGAATTTTTTACCGTAGTGTTAAACATGTAACATACCCCACTACGGTACAAAACTGGTTTACAGTAGCCATATTTATCTAAAGTAGACTATAAAGTAGTTTAAGTATAAGAAGTAAACCTAAATAGGGTTTACTATACTATATATTCTATAAAGGTAAACTACTTTTTAGTTTATATATTATTAGTATTATATATATTAACTTTAGTGTCTATTTAAATATAGTTTATATAATATACCTAATTATAGGTTATATAGTAGATAGATATATAGCACCTAGGGGGAAAATTTAGTGTAGATAGAGGGTATATAGTAGGTATAATTTAGTAGGGTTACTATGCAGGAACTAGTACTAGTAGATACCTAGGTAGTATAGGCGTGCAGTATACTACCACCTAGGTACGCTATAATAATAACTAAGAGACTAGGTAGTATACCTAGTATATAAAATTATAATCTAAAATATCCTATAATAATAGGTTAGTAAGTTCTATAAAGGCGCCTATTGCGATAATACTCCTATATTATAGTATAGTAGTATTACTAAAGATTATACTCTATATTATAAATATTCTAGGGCAAGTTAGTTACTTATACTATATATATTATAGGTTTCTTTAGTATTATATTAGTTTAAAGTTAGGTATATATATATATTATTATATATACTATATTATATATAGTAGTAAAGGGGTAGTATAATATAGTAAGCGTGTGTAGTGTAGGATATATAGTAATATTATATTATATTATTTATATATACTAATATAGTATATATATATTATTTAACTTATATAGTTAGGACCCTCTTATATTATAATTATTTATAAACCTAGACGCTATTATTACTATTACTATTTTTTAGCTCTCCTATACTACTACAATCTATATAAGAGGCATCTATAATAGATACTCTAGTTTATATTAGAGACTGCCGTCATTTTAGGCCTTATACTCTAGAAGTATTTCTCTTATTACTATTACCTTTAGCCTTAGCTTTAGTTATATAGTTACGCCTAGCCTTTATATTCCTAATATGTGTATTCTTGCAAGTCTATATTAGTAGAGTAGAATCTAAAGTCTCTATTAGAGAGTCTATAATAGTATAAGGTTAGCGTTGTTACATGTCTAGTAGTGTATTATAGTTATCTTCTACAGGCGTGTTTTTATAAGTATCTATAGTAGAATTATTTAGTTAGGCTAGTATACTATATAAATAGGTTTGCTTTTATAGTCTTATATCTAGCTGTACTAGTACTTGTTATAATCTAACACTACTAGCTAGGGGCACACTAACTATTAGGTTAGGATACTAACCCCTAAAAACGCTACTATTACTATCCTAGGCACCCTAGTCTTTAAAGCTAGTAATACTACTAGTATATTTAGATTAGGGTAGACATTATCTTTATATATATTTAATAGGATAGGGTAATACTGTGCTGTGGTGAGGGATGTATAGGAGGAAAACAAGGCTTAGCCTAAAAGGTTGGGCGGATTGAATGGTATAAAGGCATGAAGGATCAGAGGGTAGGACAACAACAACTCCTAGGGACTTCACTTCAAATCTACAATATCATCTTTTCACTCATGTTTCTGCATTAAACCCATATCCTCCACCATAGGATCACTACTATTAAACCTTGCCCCTCCTACTTCTCCTCGTTTAAATAGGTTACTCTCCCTGTTAGTTTAAATAGCGAAGCCCAAGGGGAACTTATCTTATCTTAGTGAAGGGGAGGGCCTAGCAGCATACAACCAAGAGGACGTTCCTCTAAGTATAAGGAGGGCAGAGAAAAATTAAAAAATAGGTGGTGTTAATAATTAACATTGTTAAGGCCAAAATAGTGGGCCTATATTAGGACGTGGCTAACGCGCGTTAGTAGGGACAGAGTAATAACACTAAGAGGCTAACTAGAAAATATTAGAAACACTAGAACAACTAGAACAACTAGAACTAGAACGACCAGAACTAGAATTAGAAATAGAATAACTAGAACAACCAGAATAACCAGAATAACCAGAACTAGAATAACCAGAACGACCAGAATGACCAGAACCAGAACAACCAGAATAACCAGAACTAGAACGACTAGAATAACTAGAACCAGAACAACCAGAATAACCAGAACCAGAATAACTAGAATAACTAGAACTAGAACAACTAGAACTATTAGAATAATTAGAACTATAAGAAGCATTAGCAATACTAGAAGTGCTAGAACACCTAGAACATTGCTACTAATAGAAAAGCAACAGCAAAGGCCGCAGGATGGTGTGCGCTATTAGCAGGAAAATAGGGCTAGGCTAAAGTTGCTAACGCAATAAGAATCCACTAAAAATAAATGCAAGTGCTGGCACTGTTTAGGAAGGGTGTTAGGGACATGGCTACTAAGGAAGAGGAGGCAGTCTATAAAAATAAGAGACGGGAAAGGGGGGAAGTAATATAAGCAAGCAGATACTAACTCGTCTAACAATTTTAATTAACATCACGGGTTTATACACCTCCTTTAACGTTTATAGAAGCCCACCACCTTAACCAAGCCTATCCTTTTTGCTAGGAACAATGCCTAGAGAAAGTAACATTACCCTAGGGTCGACTAAAATAGAAACCTCTAGACCCCTAAGAAGAGTCCTTGTCCCCATAAGGCCTAGGAAAACTAACTTTTAGTTCTAGGGGAGGGAGGTTATAGAATTCCTAGATAACTATAACTGCTAGGCAGAAAATAGGGGGCTAGGCGAAGTAGATTAGCTAAAAATTCTGCTAGACTTTTGTAATGCTATATGCAGAATATTTGTAAAGAAGCTTAGACCCTACTAGAAGTAAGACTAGGAGGAGCTGCAGGAAGCCATAAAGGAGCACTAGAGGGACCAGGATACAGCCTAAAGGATAGGTACCCGAACCTTCCTGGATGCGTATGTACAAGAAGCCTCTAGGAACTTCCTAGGTCTCTTAGACTACTATACCAATTTTGTGGTGTATAGCGATGCCTGCCTAGTATCTAAACAGCTACACGAAAGCGAGGTTGGATTCTTCTTCTTTAGAGGGTTACCCTAGGTAGATAAAGAGCTAGTCTTGCTTAGTATGCTAGGAGGGCCTAATAGCAATAAGGTAGCAAGCTATAAGCTAGAGAAGATCTATACCTACGTTAAAAGAATCTATTGGCAAAGAGAAGGAATAAAACATACATTAGCTAGCTAAATAGAGGAAGATGCTTAGCAGGCACATTAGATATTAGAGTTAGTAAAAACTATACCTACAAAGGAGGATATTATAGAGGCAGCGAAAGGCGTTAGAAAGGAGCAAGCTACCACCTAACTACTACTAAACGTTAACCTGGAAATAGACTAGTTAATTAGGGCACTAGGAAAAATAAAGATAAGTTTAGCTAAGGCTAATAGGCTACAGGAACACCACGCAATAGGCCCGCTGCTAAAAAGCCTAGCAAACTAGCTCTACTTTATTTTACATGCAACTAACGCTAGGATAGAGCAAGGAATGCGTTAGAATGCTGCAGCAATTAGGGGGTTACTAATAAACTAGCCAAGAACCTAGGGCCCTATGCAAACGTTAACTACTTAGCTAGGGCTATAGAGTTACGGGGGGTATAACAAGAAACTACCCACCTGTAACATGTGTGGATTAGAATCCTACCTGGTAAGGGACTACCCCCCCTGGCTAGAACTTATAGCGCTAGGGTAGGTAAGCACTTCCTGGAATCTAGAAACAAGGACTAGGATATTTTACTACGGACTATTACATAAAAGACTAGGGCAGGTTACTAAGCTAGCACTGTGGAACCTTGCTCTTTATTAGATAAAGAAAAAGTTGCGTGAATACTATAAAGTCACTAAGGATGTCCTTAGCTAGCCAGCGTTATAGGTTAAGCTAGAACTATTTAATGGAATAGATTTAAGAGGCTAGCAGTAGAGGCGGACTTAGGGACTAGACTATCTAGCGGCAAAAAGAGCGGGAGCTAACGCGATATCTTCCTAGAATTAAGGATTAGAACTAGGAGATGCTTAAAAAGAATATAAGCAGTTCTTGAACTATTAAATACTATAAACTAGCAAGGAAGACCTAGTAGTAATAACGCTAGATTATATGGACTTAAGACATATTGTCCTAGGATTAGCAGACAAGAATATACCTAGGA